GCGCGCCCATCTAAGGAGACGCTGGTGGGGAAGCCCGGCCGGCGCGCGGGACTGCGACCCGCCCGGGCTCGTGAATGACTCTGCATTCCTGGGGTTCCGGGGCTGGAGGGCGGCACCTCAGAGCAGAGAGTCGGCGGGCTGGAGACGCCGGCACTGGGGTCGGGGAGGACGTGGGGCTGGAGAGCAGTCCCTGAGCTGGGCTGCTGCAGGGTACGCGGACGGCGGGCCGATGCCTCGAGGGTCCGGGCCTGCCCACGCCCGGCGGCCCCGCGGAAGTTCGACTGTGATCGCGGGTAGGAAGGTCCTGTGTCGGCCTGTGCCGCCCAGGTGCGCCCGGCAGGAGCTTGGCCCTGGGGCTGGGGGAGCCCCTAATCTAGGCCACGGGCAGGAACTCCCCTTCCCTGGCCGAGGCCTTCCTCCACTGCAGGGGGGGCGAGGGGCTCCTGCCTCAGCCACCCAACTCCTGCGACCTGGGTGGCTTCCAGGCCTGCCAGACCAGCCCTGCCGGCCACTTGGCCATCAGAGGCGGGGACCTCTCGCCTGACCCCCCCTGTGGGAGCTTTCTGCTGTCCAGGCCCAGGAACCCCGCAATGGCGGCCTGCGGTGGCCTGGGCCGGGCAGGGGTGGTGGGCCACCCTGTTTTCTTTCCCCAGCCTGCAGGCTGAAATTAAGGGGCTCTAAGGAGGAGTCCTTCGGCCAGCCTTTGGTGTGAATCCTGCCGCTGCTTTGGCCCCCCACGGTCGCACCAGGTGTTGGGTTAAACCTCTAGATCCTCACCTGTGTGTGTGTGTGGGGGGGGGGTGGAAGAGTGGCTACCAGTCCCAGGGGTAACACCCAGTGGGGGGCTGGCGTGGTTGCTGGGCTTTACTGTATTGGACATAATAAGGTCTGACTTTTTGATGAAAAGAGAGTTTGAAAATAAAAGATACTTACTGTCTCAGGACGTGCCCTGGCCTTCCCTGAGAGTTGGGGTCCCCTAGAAAAAGCAGATAGCACTCGGGTCACCCTGGAGAAGCAGAGCCTGGGGGCCGTGTGGTGGCCCTGGACTGGGGTCCGGAAATGCAGGTGCTGATCTCACTCTTTTCCCTGAGTTTTCATCTTTTCTTCATGGGCCTCGGTTTCCCCCAAGTGGCCCACTTGGGTGACCCCGGTGCAGTGCCCGGAGGCACGCCCCCCCCACACCCTCCAGCCTTTCCTCGCACATCTCTGGGTGCACCCTGCAGAAGGCCTGGGCTGGGCCCCTGCGGGCGCTGCTGCCCCTTCCTGGCTGAGGAGAGCGGTCAGTGGCGTGGATGTGGGCCCCTGGCCTGCCTGAGCGGCCCCACCGCAACTGGAAGCACAGAGATGTTGGGGACAGCTGGAGAGTTTGGTTCTCAGGGTGCTGGCTGGCTAGGGGTGCGCTGGGAAGGAGGAAGCTCCGGCCCTCCCGGGTCCTCATGCCTCCAGTGCCCCCCACCCAGGGCTAGATTCCTCAAAGGGCCGGGACCATCCCCGGGCCATCCCCTCTGCTGGCCACGCTCCCAGGCCGCAAGCTCCGTCCTCTTCCCAGGGGTTTCCTGGGCCAGCCCTGAGCCCCCTGGGGTGGCCGCAGGTTTCAGCGTCTTCCTTGGCCTTGGGCTCTTTCTGTGGGTGATCTAACGGCTCCCAGGCTGGGAGACAGGAAAGGCCCTAGAAAGAGGGCTGTCAGCGACCTTCCGGGACTAGACAGACCAGCGCTCACCCAGGACCCGCACCCCGACCCTCCTATGGTGCTCAAACAGCCCCCCCTTTTTTCGGAGTCTCCTGCCCTGACATGCACAGGGCCTCGCCATGCCCTGGATGCTGGGGGCCTCACAGTGCTGGATCAGCCCGTGTTCAGGGGTGCCCTCCCTCTCCCCAGGTTCGTGGTGTTTCTCCGGTACCAGTGTTACTATGAGTACCCGCTGCTGACCTACCTGGAGTACCCCATCCTCATTGCACAAGGTAACAGCCCCTCTGTGCCCTTACACCTGGGGCCCCTGCTCCCCATCACCCAGGCCCAGGGGGCCCCCGCTCCCCCTCACCCAGGCCCGGGGGTCCCCACTCCCCCTCACCTACCCAGGGACCCCGCTCTCCCTCACCCGCCCGGGGGCCCCACTCCCCGTCACCCGGCCCAGGGCCCCCACTCCCCTTCACCTGGCCCGGCGCCCTGCTCCCCCTCACCTGGCCTCTCCTTGCAGACATCGCCCTCCTGCTCTGTGTCTTCCATTTCAACGGGGATGTAAAGGGGGCAGCACCCTACATTGTCCTGTATCCTTTGGCGTTGGGAGTGAGGGGCTGGGCCCCTTGGTGGTAGTTTGCTGGAGAACAGGCCCAAACTGAAAGGGAACCCCAAAGGCAAGACCCCCCGCAGCCACGCCTGTCCCCAGACCAGCTCCTGCGCAGCCCCTGCTGCGGCCCTGGCCAGGCGCCCGGTCCCTGGGCCGCCTGGAGGCCAAGCCCTCCCCCCTGCGCAGCTCCACGAGGCCCTGGCTCCCCCTGGGCCGCGGGGTAGGAAATCAGCACACAGGCCCCACCTGAGGCCTGCAGGCAGGGCCTCTCCTGCCTTAGAGTTTGTGATCCTCCTGCTTTCCGGTGGCCAAGCCCACCTGCCTCGTCTCCCCTCCCCTGCTCTCCTAGCAGGTGCCCACCTGAGCTGCTTTAAGCTTTTTCCAAACCGGCAAGTTCTAAGCACCGTTGCCCATCCCGCTCTCGCTCTGGCACTGACCTCTGGCCTTGGGGGTTCCCGGGGTGAGCGAGCCTGGGTCAGCTGTGTCCCTTAGCGCTGCTGAGGTTTGCCGCATCCTGGTTCCTCCTCACCCTGCAGAAGTGGATCATCGATCTGGCCATGGTACGTACGGCCCCTGGGAAAGTTCGAGCAGCGGTCTGCGGCCTGCTGCCCGCCACCTGCCCACCATGTTTCCGAGGGGGGAGTGGGGGGCCTCGGCGAAGGGAGTGCTGCCCAGCATCAAAGCCCTTCTCACTTAGATGAGCTGCCAGTGGCCCTGAGGCCTTCGTGGGCGGGGCGCTGGGGTGGGGGGGCTGGGTGGGGGGTGTTTCCCTTCGGCTGAGGATTACAGGCCCACCCCACCCACAGTCTTCCTGTGCTTGTCCCCTGCCAGGGCTCAGCTGTCTCCAGCCGCACGTGAGCCCTAGGCTGCTGTGGGACACTGCTAGCACCCTGGGGCCACAGCCCCCTAGAGCACCCCTTCTCCCCAGCCTTGGGTCTTGGCCTTGGCAAGTTGGTTCTAACTTGGCCTAAACATTTGACTTCAGAAGCCCTTTGGGTCTCTGCTACTCTTCTTTTCTTGCTGGGGTATAGGCGGGGGAGGCCTCCCCAGAGACGGATGGGGAGCAGAACTGGCTGATCCACTGATATGCAGTGCAGAGGGGAGCAGCGGGGACACAGGAGGGGGCTGCTGCGCCCAGGTCACCCCCGGCTGGGGATGGGGCTCGAGCCGCAGCGGCTGCCGACCCTTCATGTGCCGCCCTAACCCCCTGCGCCCCCAGGGGGGCCTCTGCCCTTCTTGTGTCCAGCCAAAGGGCTCCTAACGGCCTCCGCCTTCTCTGCACAGCACTGCTGCACGATCATCAGCGCGGCCAGTAAGTTCGCGCAGCTCCAATGCCTGTGGAAGACCCAGGACTCGGGCGCCGTGAGCGCCCTGACGTGGATCCTCGCTTCCTACACCTGCGCCAGTAAGAGCGGGCCTGGCGTGGGGGGCCCCAGAGTCTCCCCAGAGCGCCCTTACTCCGTGTCCGTAGTCACAGTGCCTTGAGTGTTGATGTGCTGCCGGGAGCTGTGCAGACCGGACCTCGAGGTGTCTGTATTTACAGGCCTGGTGGATTCAAACTGCTCCATTTCCGTAGTCTGGTTGCTAAAAAAAAGCGAGGCCACGCCTTTCCCCAAAAGCTGGCTTAATAGTCCTCTTGTTTGACCTAGTGAGAGACTGATTATGTCATTCCACTAACTCATTTTAAAATTTGAACAAAATTAAAAAACACATTGGAAGGTCATATACAGATTAAAGAGGTGATGACTGCGTGGCTTTGAGGGTGCATGAAGCCGTCAGCGAGGCTTTCCTGGCATCACATTGCCGGTTGCAACTTCGAGTGCACCGTTCACGGATTGTTGCAGCGACTGCCCAAACTACACTTAGGTGGACATGTCCAGAGCTGTCACTTTAGATGTGCTCGTTTTAGATGTTTGAATTTCACATCTTCATGCTTCTTGTGTGTTTAAAAGACCAGTTTTTATATCCAAGGTTGCTGGTAGGGGTTTTTATGTCCAAGGATTTAAAATTAAGACAATTTTAGCTTTAAAGTGAAGTGACAGTATGAAATTGTATATATTTCACATATAATTATATTGTATAAATACATATATACACTATGGTTTCTGGAATTGCAAGTTAGATATATTATTTATTGACACTATATATAATTTTATGTTTTATCTTCAGCTATTTTAACCTTTAAAATGTTGCTTATAAGAAATCTGGGCACTTGTAACAGCTGAGCCCATGAATTACATTTCAGTCTATTTTGCATGGCGGTCTGTGATTAACAAGTACTTGATTATTCGTTGAATAAACGAGCCGAGAGTGTACTTTTACAGGGATGATGTGCTGGTTTTCAGTCCCTCCCTCCGTGATGCATGGGATCAACCGTTTGGCCCCACGATGAGCCAAATCAGTCCACACTTAGCTCTTGTCCTCACCCCTGGCTTTCCGTGGCCGCTTCACTCTGGGCGGGGGCTGCATCCCCCCCACAACCCCGGGCATCTTTAAACCTGAGAACCCTTTAGTTGGGCATCTGCCCAGCTGACCGGAATCTCCACTAGTTAAGGGTCACTTCTTCCATGTAAGTTCCCCATGACTGGACAGCTGTTTTTCATCAGCGCATGTCCATGCTCAGTTTATCAAAACTGGCCAAGTGCATCCCCGAGGCTCGGCTGTTGGCTGTAGAGGGTCGGTTTTCTTGGCAGACAGGACCACAGAGCTACGGGCTGCTGTGTGCTAAGCGCTCAGCGTGCCAGGCCGAGGCCCATGCCAGCTCAAGGGAAAGAAGGCATGGCAGCACAGCCACCAGCCTCTGTGCCTGCTGTGAGGTGCTGGCCCAGAGACCAGCAAGCTGGTTCAGCAGGGCAGCGAGACCCTTAGGGCCCTGTAACACTCATCTGGGTCTCGGTTTTCCAGCTTTTAAAACATGGTTTTTAGTTAATGGGAGTCTTCATTCAATGAACTCTTACCTGAAGAATGTGAGGTTTTCAAAAATTGTTTTTGGGGGGGCTGAGAGGTGCAGGCTGGCACCTGTGGGGGGAGTTCAGCCCTGCCCGGATACCTGCCCCTCCCCCCCCCAGTCCTGACACCTCTGGGGCGCTGGGCCCGGTGGCTGTGTGACCGCAGGGCGAGGAAGCAGGGCCAGGCCTGTGCCTTGTGAACTCGGGGATGGCTTAGAAGACTGCACTCAGCCAGCTGTTCCGAAGTTAGATTAGCTCCCTGCATTGAGACGGGAGATACATTAGCTAAACATCAAAATGTGAGTTGATATTGATGGCGGGAAATTCTCTTTCACAGCAAGAATCATCACGACGTTAATGACCACCAGTGACCTCACAAGTAAGCCAGATGTCTTTCTGCTCGTTGGCTTTCTGCTCGTTGTGCTCCTGTGCCATGCGCTGGGGGCTAGCTCATGGAGGAGCTTGCCTCTGAGCGGACTGAGCACGGAGGTCGGCGCCAGTGTGCTTGGCTTTGCTCAGTCGCCGTCACGTTTGTAAGGGCCACAGCTGGTGCCTGGGCTGGAAGACGCAGAGGGCGGCCATCTGGTGAAGTGAACAGTGAGGTCCCCTGCGCTTCACTTTGGAAAGTGCTGTGAGATGCGTTTTGGAAGAGTAGACCAGGCTAGCTCTGACCTGGCTCAAGTCGGGAAAGGGAAGGAGACAGGTCTGGGTGGGTTTCCTCTGGGGATGGGATCTGCATGAGAAGAGTCAAATAGGTTACAAATTAAGTTAAAAGGTTTCCTTTGTGGCCAAGGTGATTACTATTCATGGGGGGTGGAGGGGAGGGGAAGGGATGGGGTGTCCATGTATCTAAACTTTAAGAAGTTTAACAAGCTCAAGTGTTGTATGACCACAGATGCCTTACCTCTCCCAAGTCTTAGGTAATAGTTGAGTACTGTGAACATTTTGATATGCAGGCCTATTTGTGAGGGTTATTTGGACATGACGTGTGATAGGCCACTTTTGCTTAGCATGGAAGGTTCTGAGACATCACTGTCCTCAAGACAAAAACAGAGGGTCTGACAGGCTCCCAGAGGTTGCTGATCAGAGCCACCTGGCCAGAGCTGGCCGCATGGTGGAAATGTTGCCTTTCCAGAACCAGAGTTCTGGACCCAGAGTTGTCAACAATTCTTAGATTGCATCATTTCTTGTTTCTTTTCTTTCTCAATTCTAAGTTTCACGGGGGGGGGTGGGGGGGGTGGGGGGTGCTTTTATTCAGAGCAGGAGGTGACTGTTATGACTTATGTGAAAACAGTACTTTTATATATGGCATTTTTAACTGCATGTTTTTTCTCTTTCTCACTGATTTCAGTTCTTACACGCTTTGTGATCATGCTGGCTTTAAATATGTGGGTCACAGCTACAGTCCTGCGCTACCGGAAGGCCGCCGTAAAGGCTGAGTGATGCCGCCTCATTCCTTCAGACCGCAGATTTCTATAAACTGAACCGAAGGCCTGGGGTGGGGGTGGGGTGGGTAAAGCTAGATGCTGAATCAAGCCCAGTTTATAAATCCAGTCAGTTGTTCCAGAAGCTTTGAACAGAAGTCAACTGCAGCCATTTGAACACTTCTCTGTGTCCACACCCCTCCGCGCTGCCCACTTCTCTGGCTTAACAGGGCTCAGGCCAGGGCTTCAGCAGGAAGCCCTTTGAGATTGCATTGACCTTTACTCAAAAGCCATGACTAAGATCTCTCCAAAGAGTAGCACTCAAAATCTTTTAAGAAATAATCCTCTGTACAGCACAAATGAGCATAAATGGACATAGAGTACAGTTTTGCTCCACTCAGAAGAGAAACTGTAGTATTAAGTTACTACAGTTGACTTCTGGGCCTCATGTTTTAATTGTAGCAGAAACATACCAGGGTAATAACCTTGTATCAAACATAGTATAACTCCCCCTTAGGTTGGACTTTCGTGCTCCTTCGTTACACTGTGCCTTCAGGTCACTCCTAGTAAGAGGTACAGTTAGCTGTAACCTCTACTGGTGATAGCCGATCCGTGTATTCCTGATTGATGCTGCTGCCATTCTTATAAGGAGCACACTCTACGATTACCCTTGTTGGAAGCTGGAACAAAATATAGCTGAACTTGACCAGGACTTAGCTTTCAAAAACATGCAGTAAAGGGTATTGCCAGGTTCTGCCAACTTCTCAGATTTTACTATACTGAGTTCTAAACATGTTAAGATTATTGTATACTGTGTTTGCCTATAAAAGTTTTAAATCCAGCATTTAGACATTTTCCCCATTATAATCAATGGTATTGTTATATGCAGTAAATGATGCTTACAGAAAATGTTTCCTATGTAAAATAAATTTTATTTTGAACTCTGCCAAGTCCTGCCACTGTCGGTCGTCTGTGAGTAGTTCTAAGTTACGTGAAGCATAGCTTTCAAACTCCAACCTAGACCTGGTCCACTCAGTACTGCTTGGGAGCAGCAGGCAGAGAAACATGTTACCTGAAAATGTTATATAGTTTTAAAGTTCATTGTAAAAAACCCAACCTTTTCTCAATTACAATGTGACTATTAGCATGAATACAAATTGTGACTTAGTCCAACAAGTATTTAGATAATACTTTTAAATTAGTGTAAACGCTCTTAAAGCAACTCTTAAGGATATCCTATCTTACCTGAAATGTTCTTCGTTTTTCTTTTGGTTGGAGGGGAACAAATGTTTGAGCTATTTCAGATTATTCTAGACACATTATCATACAATAACCCTGTAATTCCATTTTACAGATGAAAACATGGAGCCTGAGTGAATAATCTGCCCCAGATTAGATGGTTAATAAGTGTCCTAGGAAGTAGCCACTTACAGCACAGTATTCCTGACAAAATGGGCATCTGTCTTCTTATTCTTGACCCTCAAATGAGATTGCTAGGTTTGCATTCCCTTTAAAGTGTCTAGGTCAATTCAGACAGCCTCCTGGTTGAAATCTTGCATTTCTCCCTGGAATAACTGACAGGGCTAAGGATTCACAAGCCTCTAACCATAATTATTACTTGCTTGCCAAACCCACTTATCATGGAAGGCAAATTTTAGAAGTTTTTAGCATTCCAGGACTATTTACAGGTAAATATTAAAAGGCTTGTGCCTTGATTTCTTTTATTTTTTTAATAAAAAGCAGGCATAAAATACAATTACATTACTATAGAGATGCAACAAAATTAAAATCAAGGGGGTACGATTTTTGTTCAAGGGGGACAGTTGATCAAATGTTTATGATTACCTAAGTCATGCAGTTCATAACTTATTACAATCCCAAACAACTTGTTATGGGCGAGGAAATCAAGGAGAGGCCCCCAAGCATAACATTCAGCACCATCCAACAGTGCTCATCTTCAAAGTGCTTTACAGACCAACCAGGTGTCTTCAACTGAGCCAGGCTGCAGGGAGGCAGCTTCCGCACACTCGGCCCAGAGCTCAGCAGCGGCCAGCCCTCCCAGGTGTGATGTGTCTTACAGCACGTTCCCACATGGTGACAGCGTCCACGGTTCTGTTCTCCCCCCAGAGTCCTGCAAGAGCAGGTTGTCAACAGCAGCACGACCTCTTCAGTTGTGGTTTGGCAACCTAGAGTTTTTCTTCCTGAGGATAAACCAACGCACAGGTGACACTTCAGCGCCAGATGGTCTCTAGCAGAGGTTAGTTTCAGAGACTAACCTTTACTTTAGATTTATTGGTATACTTATCCTTTAGCTAAACCATTTTAAATTTCAGAATTTTTAACATTGTTTCTGGGTAACACTTAAAAAACACTTTTAAAAACTCATGAATTTTCAATAGTCTACTTCTGCCTCACTGTCCCCACAAAAGTAAAACATCCAACTAAGAACATCCCAGTACTCACTACTTGCTAGTTTTTAGTAGGAGGTATTTACGGCTCTAGGAGAAGTCAGGTGTGAGGAAATACGCGACTTTCAGCCTTGGTAGTTATCTTGGAGGCTTTGGAGCCTCCAGGAGGGAAAGCTGGACAAAGTGGCCAGCAGCCTGGGCAATGCTGTGCTTGGTGAGCACTGGGGAGAGAACACGTGGTGCATGCACTCACGTGCGTGAAGCCAGCAATATGGTAAAAGCAAATTCTTACCCAGGGTCAGAATTTTTTATTAAGCGCATTTCCATTAGTGAGACAAAGAACCTTAGTGTGAATCCTTATATCAAATCATATAATGTGAAGAATCTCCATGGGAGAGAATTTTTTCACCCCTTAGAATATCTTCCCCCCCCAAATTTCATGTTAATTTCCTTTGTATAGTTGCATCACACCGTGATTCTCCATATTCTCTGATATATACACAGCATTCAAAATTTAAACTTTTGCCACTTTTACTCAAATATTTCAATTACTCATTTGTAAACTTCAAATTATTTCATCTTAATAAAGTTTATTAAAAATATATATATATATATACTCTCCAATTCAGAATGATAGAACCTCCCATAGTGTAACAAAATCTTTATATAAAATATTCAGTCTCCTTTTAACAACTCTAATGAATGGAAATATTTATTCTATATAAATTTATATATTTTTTCATCTTCTTAATCTTTCTTTAAAAAAAAAAAAAAAAAAAAAAGCTGTGCCCCAAAGCCAGAACTGCCAAACACACCTGCAGGAGAAGTGACTCAGGCATCGGTTTAGCACAGGCCGCACGAGGGCGCAGCAACCACGCAAGAGGAGGGGCTTCCTTTCCAGCCATCAGCTGACCAAAAGCCTCTTCAGTTTCCACAACAGTATCTCTAACTGGGGACCCTACCCTTAGACATCTCTACACTGAGTCCAGAGAATCAATGAAAAATATCTACTTCCTTCATTGAAATATCAGACATTTCAACATCACATCAAATCGTGTGTGTGTACAGCGGCTGACAGAGACTACTTATGCTTATTACTACTGATGCATACTCTGGCAGTATAAAGCCGACTTTTTCAGGGTGATGAGGAACTGAGCAGGATCAGTTCTGCTTCTAATTTTAATAGCATTTAAAAAATACAATCTGTGGGGACCATAGTGCAGCATGTGCAGGTGCTGACTAATAACGCCGCTCACCCAAAACCTACACATGCCACAAACCATATTGCTTCAGCACACATTAAGAACCTCAAGCTAAGTGCCTTTGAGGCCACCCTTCCCAACCGCCAGTTTTCTAGCCCATTAATGAAATATTGCCATACATAGTTGTGTGTTTAAGGGGTCCCATTTAAATATTTAAAATATATCTACAGTGTGTCTTGTTTTCTTTAGAGTTAATTTTTGAATCTTGAGTGTGAAAAATGTAAAAAAAGTCACAGATGTCTTTATCAGAAATAAAGACACATCAAAGGTAGCCAGCAAATTCAAAGCAAAGAAAATGTTTCATAGTCACACACTAATACTGAGGTCTGTAAAAAGAGTTGGAGGGATAATATAGATATAATAAAAGATATATTAGTTCCAATACTATCCATTATTGTTTCTATCACCAACATTTAAAAAAAAAATCTGTTATACAATCAAAATAGACTGACATTGATAACTATTATGTGTAAAAATAGTGCACTATTTTTCTTCTGCAAAGCAAATTTGTATCCTAAGAGCTGGTAAATACATGTGGTCTTTTTTTTCCTTAAATACAGAAAAGGACTGAGACTTAAAAAAAAAAATTAAATTAAGGCATTCAAAATGGTTAAAGCTGCTATCACGAAGCATTGGGAAACTGGTATGATTCTTGTCTCAGTAACTGCTTAACCGTGAACATGCGGCTTCCATCAGGTACCCAGATGGATGCTATAACACATGTTATGGCTTTGTGCAACGCACAGTCTCAACTGCAGTAAGTGATGGCATCTGATTAATGTGCATAAAAAAATAAAGTGGGACATCTAAAAAATCCTCTTGTACTATAGATATATATGTGCACGTGTGTATCTATATACACATGTATATATACATACACACACACACACAGTTTAATGATCACTACTTAAAAGAGGCAGTCTATATCACTGTAGTGGAATCCATTCCCAGATTCTTCTGGTAAATGTGCTGGTGAAATCTCTCTTGAAGCTGAAAAGATGATTTCTTTAAACTTTAACTCTTCTCCATCGTTTTGAACAATGTAGTGTGAGTGACTGTCAAAAGAGCTTTATGGAGTAAGTCTGGAAGAGTTGCACATGACATCCTTACTCTTATTAGTATCACTGCTGGCTCAAGGTGTTGCTTCAAAGGAGCCCAGAAAAATCTCTCCAAGATTTATAATTTATATTACGGGAAAAAAGGGAACATATATATATATATATATACACATACACGTATATATATATATGCACTTATATATGTATGTGTGTGTGTACATAAGTCTCTCATGAAAATATAGCTTTTCAATAAATCTTGGGCCATCATACTTCAGTCTTCTTTTAACTGGAAGAACATGGTCACCATGAAGAATGACTGCATTCACAGAAGGCAGTTAGCTGGAAAGAAAAAACAAGGTTTCAGTTGATAAAATAGTTCGAGAGTGTTAAATGCTTTGAAAAGGCATTCCATTTAAATCATTCAAGTATGCTGTCTTCCAACTACTGTATTTCTAACACCGATATCATACGTAAAAATATATTACTTTTTTAAAGGTACATGCAATTATATCCTTTCTTTTATCTTCCCATATTGGCTAGAAACAATAACATGCAAGTAGCAAATTTTAACATGGCTCACTAGCTATTAGCGCTAGACAACTTATCACTGAGTAACTCGTGTGTGTGAGTCTGACTCAAGGTTGAACTGCTTACCTGGTTTATGCGGCTGGAAAGCTTAAAGCTCAACCCTTAATCACAATTTTTTTTTTCAACTATAAAATGGGAACAAACATATTGCACTAAATGTGTGTAAATGGTCCTGTATACCCTGGTCATAAAGAGACCCCAACATTCCCTAAGGTAAGTATACATTTTACAACATGCTTGCTTGGCTGGAGATGGACCATTACTGCTTTAAATGCATTCCATGTAAAAGGTTTAACTCATGAAGCCCATCTCTCATCCAAATCTCCCCTGGCCAGTATCACCCAACTAGTTCACATTCTCCAAGAGCGTAAGAACTTTCACAGCACATCCCTGGCATTCTTCAGCAAGAGTAACAATAAAGTTTCAAAAAGCAAACGTTCCATAGCATCACAAAGAAAGTCAAATCAGAAACAGCTATTTCACAGCACTTATTAGACTTTACAAAGTTTTTATGGTTTCAATTCTTGCAAGTTAGAAAAAAGAAGAGAGGAGAAAAGGAAAGAAAATGGAGGGAAAAGCAATCTCATGCTATGTTCAAACTAATGGTGTAACAAAAACATCATAAATTTTACTTTTTCTCTGAATATGGCTCCTTCGAAATAAACAGAAAGTACTAGAACTAGCTTCTCTCATCATCTGTATGTTTCATTCCCAAGATAAAAATTGTTTAATTCCAACTGTATTAAAATTATGTAATCAATAAAGAATCTGAACATAGCATTTTATTTTACAATTAACATAAAAATTTCAAGTTAGAAATTTTTTCTGAAAACCAATTTTCAAATACACACAATTAAAACTTGAAACTTCAAAACTAATCAAAAATGAAAACCTAAGTGCAAACATCATGCGCTACTTTAAGTACTAAAATAATTCATTTATCATTTTTCAATTTACCCCATTTCTTCAGAAATCAAAAACATCGCCATCATCATCATCATCACCATCAATATCATCAAATGACCAATCCCAGTCTTTAAATCCCAAATCAAGCAATCTGTAACAGGAGGTTTGCAAATTTATACTATTACCTTTGAGAAATGGCAATTTAATGCTATGATCCAGGTATCACACTTTCAATGTGCTGTAAGCATTTAAGCTATCCTCTCAGCAGTGATTACACGATTTAAATAAAGAGGGAAGCCTGCAGGGAAACCTGTTCATAGATAAATGCGTAAAGCCACACTGGCCAGGTATGCCTTTCAGAATACCAGAGAGCAAAGAGGGAATATGACAACCTTACCCCCGACCCCCAACACTTCTCCAGTTCCTTGGTCCAGATGAAGATATAATCACCCTGATGGCCAGTTTGATTTGATAACTATGAAAATTCAAATTGTTCACAATACTAAAGTATCTAGACTGTCAGTTCACATTTTCCCCCTAGGATAATTCCAAATTATTAGTTAAAAAAAGGGAGTAATATAAAAAACACAGCTTCCTCAATCCCAGCAGGACACTACTTGTTGAAGGGGAAAGCCACAGGTGTGTAGTAGCATTAGCAACAGACTAAATAAACTGGACTTTGATCAGGGTGTATGCATGTAATCTTTTTCCAAGCTGAATCCAATCATCTAACACAGCAATCATCTTTATTAAAAAAAAAAAAAAACAACAACAACAAGAAAAAAAAAAACAAAAAAAACAGGAATAGCCTTTTCATTTTTCATTACTGACATCACGAATCAATTTGTGCCAAGGAACTCATCTGATCCCCTAAGACCCATCTGTGATCATAATGTCAGTGGCTGTAAAACTTTAGAGAAGGGCTTACCCAATGCTGTTTATAATGCATATTTCCAGACCCTGCACAAGAGATTCTGAAATAACTGGAATGAAGTTGGGGGAGAAGTAGGGGAATGGGCAGGTATTTTCATTTTAAAATAACCTCAGGGCCACCCTGGTGGCACAACAGGTTAAAACACAGCACTATGAGGTTGTTCGCAGTCACTGCAGCGTTGAGTTCAATCCCCAGACAGGGAGTGACCCACATGGCAGGGCAGATTCTCCTGTCTCCCGGCTGCTCCCCTCAGCAATGTGTTTCAGCAGATCTGCCTGTTCTGCCCCCTCTGTGGAGTCCTCTTACCTCCAGACTCCCGGCACCTCTGGCTTGTACCCCAGTTCTTATATGCATAAACAAAAATCTTTTTTTAATTAATTAAAAAAAAAACTCAGATGAATTCTAATGTAACTGGATGGCCTTAAGAATCATTGACAATGGTAAACAAACTAATAAAAATTACCTTATTTTTACATGGTACTGAATGTAGAAAAAAACTTGCAAAAACACAAACCTAGATGTAATTATTCATGTACTATCTGTCACAAGCTAGGATACATTCACTTTTCTAGGCTTTCACAGAAAGGAACTTTTTGGCTATGGTTTCAACTCTACTGTTTGGGAGATTGAGATCAGTAGGCCTTCTAGGATGTCCGTCCAGGCCCTAATTTTTAGCATGCTTTATGAAAAATCTTCCAAAACCTTGAAGTGTGTGTGCCTATGTCACAATCTTCAAATTTTAAAGTCTAATCAATCACTAAGCTATTAAGAGTAATACATGACCTAACTTTGCTTAAAATCTCTCCCCTCTTAGCCCCTTCCAATCAGCTACCAAATTCTTACCAAGAATTCTAACAGATCACTTCTACCTACCTACTTTCACTGGCAGCACTTTAGTTCAGGATCTCATTAAATCTAAACATACTATCTGTGTTACAGGACATCTATTTGTGGAATAAAAGCCAAACTGCTTGGCACAGTGCACATGGTCCTTTTCAATCTGGCTCAAAGCTGCTTCTCCTGCACCATCTCCTACCTAATGCCCTAATTTCAATTTCTTTGCTTAATAACCACATTGATCACTCTCCACATTAAACAATACGTGTGATGATGCCTACGTTTTCCTCATAAATTTTTATATTGAGAAGAGGGGAGCTTCTGTTTCTTGATGATCTCTAAGAACTCTATACAAGCACACTCGTCCATCTTTCTCACATCTCTTACTCATACACGCTGGCTTTACAGCCACAAGGCTTTGCTGTGGACTTACTCTGCATGTTCACCTATTTTACTTAATATGTGGATTTTTTTTTTTACATTTAAGCGAATATAATTTTTTTCTTAAAGGTGTTAAATTTCTATTACCTACAAATGAAAAAGAGCAAAGATAAGATGATGACATAATAGCTCTCCCACACCCTTATGTTCTGACTGCACTGGCAATGCTCTATTTCTTAAAACCGGATAAAGAGGCACATTTAGCTTTATACTTTGTGTATGTCTTAAATACTGCATTAAAAAAAAGACCTCTAAAAGAAAGACAATCAAAGTGAAGTGCGCCCAGGAGAGATCAGTACTTTATGGCTCTCAGGAACAAGGTAGGATCTCTCCAAACTGTCTTCTTCAAAGTTAGGATATTATTTACAAGTGTCCACTTTTCTACTACAGTATTTTAACTGTAATTAAATTTACTAAGAAGACATTTCTCTAGAGTGGTGTTTCTACCCATCTGGCCGTGGGGCAGCAGCGTGTCAGCGTGGAGATAGAGCCTAGAATCTGAGCACACAGCTCTGCTGGTCACCAGCTGCGTGACTAGGACATACAGTGTTTCTGTGCCTCCATCTGCTCATCTACTAAACGGATATACTAAGCAAAGATAAAGAATTTATTTTAAAGATATCATGTGAATTATTAGTTCACTAAACCTAGACTGATTTGCACAAAGACTAATATCCTCCAAGGAGAAGTCCTCTACATCTTTATTGTATTTATGACCCTCATCCTTTCAAAATCATTTCCTTAGAAGGCTAAATACCCTCCATGCCTTCACTTGCTACTAGTGTAACTTTCTAATGATTCATCTTCTAATGACTCACTACCTCTTACTCTTCTGGACACTCTCCAATTCATGTGTGCTCCTCTTAAAATGGGATGCCCAAAACAGAATGCAAACTGTAGGATGATTCATGTAAGACACAGGTCTAATTTTGAGTTAATGAACCAATGGCGACAAACGTGTTAGAAATAATATTGGAGAAGCATAGCAAAACAAAAAATTACATTTTAAATGTACCAAATTCTGTGTCTATTAAGAGTATATCAGATTATACAAATTTTCACAAAAATACGTTATGTATTTTACTCTCCATTTTGATATTAGTGTTATCTACATGCAGAATTGTGAAAGAAATCCCTATTACTTACTGCTGCTATAGCAAAATATATTTTAAAAAATCAATAAAGAATTACTCAAAGGGATGGGCCAGAACTAAAATAAACAATAGCAACAAAAACCAAAGTAAATGTGCTGATTTGGAAGTGAAGGGGCGGTGAGGGTTGTACCAAAGAAAATATTTGTAAGTCAGTGAGTATTAAAATTGTTAAATAACTGAAAACATGACTCACTTTGTCTGAAAATCACTCATAAACTAATTGTGTTATCATATGTAGTGAAATCATTACCTTGTCAGATAACAGAAAGGACTGAACTACTTACAGTCCTCCTCTAAACAAATTGGTTTTTAAGAACTTAAATCAAAAAGTCCTACTCTACACCACAGACATATTTTAAAGCTCAAATGAGACAATATGTAAGAAGTTAAGCTAGAAAACAGAATATATGTAAGAACCCTGAAAGCTAAAAAGTATTTTCTACTGTAAGTTATTAAAATAGCATAACATGTCTGTATAGTGAGTGCTATGATATTAACAATAGAAACCTAATTTTGAGACTATCCCTCAATATCTCTGAACTCTTGAGGTTTCTTCAGCTTAAGACTATCAGTCAGTAATTTTACAATATTTAGTTTTAGCATTCCTCACACTAAAACCCATTCATTGCAGAAACACCAATTCTACCTTTGTCATTCTAAATTATTTCCTTGAGTTAACAATTTCAAGAAAAGTTTCATCTACAATGTTTGTGGTTACAATGATAGTGTTTCTGATAAAACAGTCAATGCACATATTATTCATGTACCTGAAGGTACTGAGTTAAGGAACAAAAAGGATACCTGAAATTAGATACATAGAACTAGGCACCCTTTCTCATGATCATTTCAACGAACAGCAGTATTTATAAATGCTATAGTACCACAGTAACCTGGAAAGTCAAAAAAAGTTATTCAAAGTCAAGATATTTAAAATTAAATGTTATGAAAATGGCTCCATCAAACTTTTTAAAAACTCAATTACTACATAGTAATCATCTCTCAACTGAATCCACCTTCCCAGCTCCACTTCAGGAACACTCACTTTACCCTTCAGTTAATATCTGCATATTGAGTCATTCTATAATCCTCCAATTAGAAACAAGTTATTACTTTAAACTTACAGGTATAAATTAAGACTTACGAAATGTCTCTCCTGTTTCCCAAGCTGTCTGATGCAGTACTCATGCGTGTGTGCTGGCACTCAAAGGCCTGTGTACATTCCAACTACCTAGTCACCAAATTAGTCAAAGTGCTTATAAAATCTCAAAACAGTGAGTGTAGTTACATGCATTAATGTGACAAAATGGGGTCTTTATACATTTTTTGTTAAAGTTAATATATGCATCTTAGAAAGTAAATTTCTATTACATTTACCAATGAATAAGTACACTAAAGTAGTTTCAAACACTTGCTATTCTTCTGCAGTTCATTAAAATACTAAGCAAAAGAAAACTCATTAAGAGAAATCTGTAGTATGAATATACATACATACATAGATACCTATCTGTTTTTAAATTTTAGTTTTTACCAGGTGTTTCTCAATTACCTTGGTTTGGTAGGGGCGAGCTGTCGACTGGGCCGTCTTATAGACTGATTTTGCTGTATCTTCATTGAAGTTCTAGGAGATGATCGTGCAAAAGGGTCTGGAGCGGGAGGCTTCTTAGGTATCTTTTTCACCAACCGACTAACCCACTTCTGCTGCTCTTCGGTAGAATTTGCCAATAGTAATAGATTCTTTGCCGTTGAAATATCGTAATACACTATAAAGAAATATTTGGAAAACATTAATGGGCTTAACATTATCTAAACATAAATATCAGTGTAATTCGCTACTCACCTTTGCAAGGCGCTATGATCTCCTCCTTTTTGTCCATGTGGTCCTTGTGACACTTGATGTGGCAGCGGCGGCACTCTAGGGCAGGCGGAGGCTTGAACATATGCCACAGAGGCTTCATACAGGCCTCACAGTTGGTTGGGAAATGGTAGAGAGTAGGAATGAATTCGTGTCCTTTGTGGCATATGTAATTTGACTTTTCTCCCACTGGCTCCACTGGAAACTCTTGTTCCTTTTTACTTTCTCCTTCATTAGCATAGAGAATCTACAAATACCAAAAAGGAACAATCACTAATTTCCAAACTCATAATTTTTCGAAGTAGTAACAACTGTTACAGTGTAAACAAAATAAAATTAGCCTAAATTACTGAATGAGAAATAAAGCTGACATTCGAACCTAGTAGTTCCACCTAGTCAGGAGCGTATGTGAAATAACCCCTTAGACAGACTTTGGTTCACATCTCCTCCCACCTGCCAATGAAATGAACTGATACTTGACAATTCTCAACCACAGAGACCTGGGTGAGAATGGCGACAACAGCAAACACACCTTTAGTTGAGCAGCGGAGGGAGCGGAGAAGCCTGCTCCAGTACCCACTGCAAGCATTCAGCACAGGGCCCAGCCTCCCACCGGGCACCAAGCAGTGGATCTTGATACCGGCAAGGACTCAGTAACTGATTGTTGCTTTGACTCATGTTTTTAAATGGAAATAGCAAGGGGAAGAATTTGTTTCACTTTAAACTGGAAGGGCTATTGGGCACAAAAATAACCTTCACAAGCAACATTTTTAACTTTCTAGAGAGCTAAAAGTAAACAACCCTCCCCCCCAAAAAAAGCTCATGCTTTCAAAATACCATAACCCCATAACCAATCTTGACAATCTTGAGTAAAAGGACAGCAAAGGCCTAAACAGTGATGTAAATATAATACAGATTTTAACACCCAGTAAAACAGAGAAAGGACTGAAGATGTACTCAAACACAAGTGTGGAAATCACAAGAGAATAAACCATCTTTAAATGACACCAAAATTAAAATGTAATCTGAAGAAAGCCCCCAAATAACAAAATTTGATGTGTGAATACTGAGAAAGTGATGGTGTAAAAACAAAGCTAATGAGCCACAAAATAAAATTAAAATTACCTGGAATATCCTTGGAATTTCTCTAACATCTGCTCTATATACATCTGTCTGTGTAACTGGGCGGACATGAAATAACTTGCTGTGAAAGATTTTCAATAAAGGAGTAAGTTATTAACAAAGGGAAAAAAATTACATTAGTTATTCAATGATTATGTGAAAAGCTAAAATTGACTACTCTGACCTATGTCAGAAGAGCATCTTATTTTATTAATTCAATCATCCTTGTGCTTGACATTTTGAGAAATTTATGTAAGTCAGAACTTTCCTAATTAGTTTCAGAAAACAACATATTAAAGACTCAAGGTATTAAACTATAGATGTTTTAGCTGACTTTTAATCCGACTGTTTCAACTTAAAGCAAATATAAGAAAATAAAATACTAAGTAGGAGCTAATCTACACAGATATGTACATAGACAACAAACAGTTTGTATTAACTTAACAGAAAGTGTCACATTATATCTTTATACTTAAAAATCTTAAATTTCCGGCCCTCTCTGGCCGCACAATGGCTTTAAAACACAGCATTATGAAGCTATCCGCAGCCACTGCAGCACAAATCTGATCCCTGACCAGGGAATGACCTAGGAGGTCTCCCTGCTGCTCCCCCCAGCAGTGTGTTTCAGTGGATTCACCTATTCTGTTACCCACCCTGTCTCTGGTGAATCATCTCAACCCCCTCACCTCTGGCCTGTACCCCAGTTTTTGTATGCATAAATAAAATTTTGAAACTATGTATCTTTCAAAATTAGAAGGTAAGAACAAAACTGAAGTTTCTGAATATTCTAATCAAAACACTTACTCAATATCTAAAACCATATAAGGATTAGACTGTTCTTTATCTTGTTCACTGTCATAAAAAAGAATCTTCTTACTGCTTACAATCACATACTGTTAAAAAGAGGGAGAGAATGAAGAATGAAGTTAATGTCTATCTTATTTTCTAGTAATAAAAGCCATATTAAAAAACCAAGCTAAACTGCTAAAATTATATCTTTAGAAAAGTCTTCCTTAAAATAACAGTAAGTTTTGTTTGTATGTATTTGAAATAAGCAAACTGGAGAGGGAATGAAGTCCAGTGTTTTTGGACTGATTTCAAGGCACAGCAGCATTGTAGGAAATCTTCCTGCTATGGCTCAAGGGTTTGTGTTCCCCAAAATTCATGTTACGTAGGGGAGGCGACTGGGTCATGAGAGCAGCATCCTCACTGAAAGAAATGTCCCAGACAGAGCCTCACCACCTGAGGACAAACAAGCAGTGAGAAGTCTGCAGAAGAAGGACTTTCAAGAGAAGCCAACCATGCTAACGCTGACCTTGAAGTTCTAGTCTCCAGAAGGAGGAGAAATAAATATTTGCTGTTGACAAGCAACCCATTCTGTGATATTTTGTTAGAGCAGCCAGAATAGACTTAAGATATTTATCCAAAATGACTATAGTAACATCAATAATCAGAATAACAGAGGGGAAAAAAATAAATGAATCTTCCTTTCTGTCAAATCCACAGTTGTTTTCCCAGTAAAAGAGGTAAAGAACCAAGGTCAACAGGCTACTATTTTTCAAACACCAAGCCTATTTTATTAGTATGTTAATGATGAAAAAGGATTTCTACAAATACATAAAGTCACATCAAGTCTTGTGTGCCTAAAAGTTGTATGTATTACAATCATAAAGTGAAATGACTTTAAGTAAATTAAGTGCAAAACCGTATTCAAAAGTACCAATTACCTTCTTAACCCATCCAAATTTCTTAGTGTTGTTTCGCACTGGCAGTGAAAGCCATCCTTCAAGTCTTGATTCTATAAATAAACAGAGATGTGAGGATAAATACAACAATGCTCCTAAGAAAGTGAGAAACTTGATAAAATTTTAATACAAAAGTCACAAATCAAGTATGTCCTTCAGAATATATCATTATACATTATCTAGAATATAATAATGCAGGATCAGTATAGGTAAATTAGGCAATGCAAAACAAAATCCGGGTTATATCAATAGGAAATATATTTACTAGCTTCATATAGTCAAATACTTTACTGATTAAATTCATGCACTTGCAAACGTCAGCAGCAAAGTTGCCAAAAAAGTAGTAGTTCTCTATTCTTACTGGTACACGGACCAGAGAATCCCCTGTTTTTCCTTTGGGAGAAGATCTAACTATTTACTACGCATCTTATTCAAAGGGAACACATTTTAAGTGAATATGTACAGAGAAAATTGGTTTTTAAAATAACTTATGAAAATGAAATAAAATTATCTAAGTTACAGATTAAATCTGGCCATGGAGTAGCAATAAAACCAAAAGATTTTAACTCCAAAATATCAGTTATCTATAGCATACTAGTTCAACAAAGGACTCTGACTGAATCTTTAGAATTTGTTATAATGGCATTTGATTGGTATCATTTTATAAAAATGACAATAAAAAAGTGATAAAATAAGCACTTTTGGCGGTTACTCTAAAATAAAAGTAATCATCACTATTTAACATCTACTGTGTCTGACCTATTGGAGACGCTTTACATAAATTTTCTTTAATTCTCTCAACTCCATAAAATAGTCATACGTGGCAGGTCTTGGATCAACAACCTTCCATGACAGGTTGCTGACAACAAAATCTCTATGACACAAGTTTCCTTAGGCACAGAAATGCTACACAACAGCCCACAGACTCAACAGTCTGGACATGAGCCTACTTCAACTAAATAGACAAAAATCAATGACCTCTAACATCAGATAAAACTTGATAATTTTATTCCCAAGATCTACAACAAGGGGCCTTCCTGGTAGCACAGGGCTGTCAAGTCTCAGTGCTATCAAGCACCGCAGCCACTGCAGCCTGAGGTCCATCCCTGGCCAGGGAGTGACCCACAGGGCACAGCAAATCCCTCCTGTCTCCTCACTGCTCCCTCAGCGGTGGATTTCAGTAGATTCACCTGTTCTGCTCCCCACTTTGTCTCTGGTGAATCCTTCCCTTCTCCCCACCACACATTTCTGGTCTATGCCCCAGTTCTTGTATGAATAAATAAATTAAAAATAACTAATTTCAAATATAATTAGTTTATGATTTGTCTTATATGAGATATACTTGAGAAATGTGAAAACCAAAGAAAATAACTACAGCTGTTTTAAGGTCAGTTAGTATGAATAACAGCCTGTATTCAACTGCTCATATGCTAATTTCCTGCAATACTTCAGTGTTTTTGATACTTACTAATAAGCATAATAATTTCACATTTTTAAATTGGGTTCTTCATTTAAATTGTAAGTCCTTTTAGAGAAGGGGGGGAGTCAAGTTGAACTCTCTCTCTTTTTCTGCTTAACAGAACATTGACCAGATAAGCAAGTACTCAATGAAAACCTAAACACAACCTCTAAAACTCTAGTAATCTTGGTGTGAAACTTCAGGAAGAATTTCTTCTTGGTTGGAAATGAATGAAAACAGGCAGTGAAATCACATGTGCTCTTAAACAATAGAAAGCACCACTCCATTTCTTTTAAGTTGACAAAATCTACCAATTTTACCAGCAATGCCACATAGTAGATACCTTAAAAAATAGTTCATGCAGTAGTTTCTTCTTAACCAAGACAAATGCAACTTACTAGAGTTAGTGAGTATTAGTTTACACTACAAATTTTTTTCAAAAGTACTAAAATTAAAGGTAGTGGGAAAAACCCCAAAGTTGAGAAAGATTTTCAGGATATCACCTGTACCACTAGGTTCCGATGAAATGGGTAAGTAAGGCAAGAATTCTTCTTCTGAGTCAGAATCAGAGTCAAGCATATGAGAACTGGTAGGCTTAGTGGCAATACTGAGAGAAGCAGAGGAACGCTGGTAGGTGAATGACATAGATTCCATAGTGTGTGACTGAGTGATATGAACTAAACACCCGGCACAGAAGGAAGAATTTAGAAAGTTAAGAGAAAATAACTTAAAAGAGAGCTACCTATAATCCACTTTAAAAAAAAAAAGTCACTTAAATAAATATACTGAATTTTCTTTTGCATTTTTAAATGAAAATTTTTTTCAAAAAGCAGTAAATTTTATTTAAGCCTGTAGTGTGAACCCACCCCCTCCAGGAGCAGAGTCTCAAGATGACAAACATTTTTCCTCAACAGAAAAGTTGATCACAAGACTTAAAATTGTCAACTGTTTTATATTTCAGGAAGACTACTAATGAAAATAAACAGAAGAGCAAAGACCAAACCTGCACCTGGAAAGCCATCGTCTGCCTCGGCATCCCCAGGCCCGCTGCCTATGCTGGAGCTGTCCATGCCGACATGCAAGGCCTGAAGCTGTGACCGCAGCTGCTCAATGTCACTGTCTTTACTGTCCAGTGTCATTTGCAATTCAATTCGAACCTGGCTCTCTTCAGCTATTTGCTTAAAAAAAAAAAAAATTAGAGTAAATGAATGTAATGCCATATACATCATAATTTTGCTTCTTAGTGCAGTAACAAATAATAAAAATATTCTATAACCAATAAAAAATAATTTTACTTCTTAAAATGAAAATCTTCAATCTAGAATCCAAAAAGTATTCTTACAGCCTGCATTTCATTCAGTTCCTTTTGATACTTAATCATCTGCTGGGTGAATTTTTCACGTTCAGATTTAAGCTCCATATGCAGCTTTCTATTCTCTTTCTCTTTTCTCCGCACATCTGTGTCACTACCACGTTTGACAGGTTCTTTGCGATTCATGATCTCTGCCAACTTATTCACAGCCTTAAAAACAAAAATATGTTGCAGTTTCTCAATAATTTGCCAATGGCAAATACACAAACACCAATATTCCTCTCCCACATCTACAAGACTACACAGAAACAATTTCTGTATTAAATAATATGCCTTCTTTGACTTACAATCTGTTAGTTTTTCACTCTCAAGTTTTCTCACAACTCTAATCTAAAATATCCATAGGTCAGATCTGATGTCATGCTCTACCGCTTGGTATTTTTAGTTTCAAGGGACATTTTGAGGCAGATCTTTTATCCTGGAAAAAAGAGACTTCTGCACTGGAGTCACACTAATAAAAACAACATGCCAACAAGAGAGAAGAGCAGCTGGGACCACGGCCACCTGCCACGAGCACAGCCTGGGCACAGGCAGGGCAATGATCCCGGCCACAGGCACCTCTTCAGAGTGGCCTTCCCAGATTGGCAGCCTCTGGTCATCTGCTACAGTTTCTTAAAAGCACAAAAACTTCAGAATATACTTTTTTAAAAAGGAAGGAACATGATTCTATATTGAAAAATTAAGAAAAACAGTGAAGTGGGCTATATCAATCAGGTCTAGCTTCTCTCGATTAAGAAGGAATCAGATCAGTGCTATTCACATGCATCAGCACACTCAATGTCGATGACACTTGTCTCTAATGTTAGTGATAAAATGTGAAAGCGGCACACTAAGAAAGCCCAAATTCATCTCCAGAGCCCATCATACATACCTGGGTTTTGAGCGTCCTTTCTGTTAGCAGCTGCTTCTCAAACTGAGCCTTAATAGCTGCTGCACTTATCTCTTCATCTTTCAACCTTGACAGTTCTACAACATGAAAATATTAAAATCACATTGATAACTAGTGCTGACAAACATTAAAACATTAAAAATAAGCTGTTATTTGTTAATACATACGTTCTTGTGCATCTTTTAATTTGTTATTTAATTCTTCTTTCTCATTGGCAAGATTGGCAACATCACTAGTTAGTGTTCTATTAGTTTCTTCAAGCTAACAAGCAGAAGGGGAAAAACAAGTCACATCCCCACTTATAAAACTTAAGTTATAAAGCAATTAACTAAAACCCAAGATATTGGAGAACGCTGCTCAAAGTGCTATTCTCTAAGTATTTCCATTTCTAAACCCTTGCTGTTGAGCTACTTGCCAAACTTCATTCTGGATGAAAACTTTGCTAACTGCATATGCACCCCAGAAATAAAAAACACTGCCTTCCTCCCAACAATCTTTAGTGTTTTAAATGAGAAAAATGTTCAAAGAACACCAACAAAAGTCTGTATCCCATCAAGTAGCATAAACACATTTTAAAACTATAGTATTCTTTTGGGAATGTTGCTTAAATATAGAAAATCGAATCTGTATTCTCACCAATCCTATTCCTAATTTTCCTTCCTAAAGGAAATTTTATTATGAATTATGTGTTTACCCATCCATCCATATCCTTAATCACATATATTTGAAATAATATAGCATGGTTTTATGTGATTTTAATTGTCCATAAACAACACTATACTGTATCTTTCGGCAAGCGCTTTCCTTTGACATCACATACATAGACATAAAACCAATGCTTGTATGTATGTGAATAAGTAATTAATTTTAATTAATGTAGTAACTCCATCTTCTGCCACATTTCATATACCTGTTCATTCATCTGTTGATAAAACATTTACATCTTTGCTACTACAAACATTTACACTATGAGTAGAGTGCCTTCATTTCTCTAGTATATTTATCTTAATGTGGACTTTCTCTGGATTACATGAATATTTTCAATTTACTGGAAATTGCCATGTTATTTACCATATTATGCCAACTAAAACTATACTCTCCATAGTAGTAAGCAAGAATTACCATTTTCCAGACATCCTTCAAACACCTGAAATTGTCAGATACTGAATTTTTGCCAATGTGATCAGTATGAAATGGTATTTAGTAAGGATGAGCATTTGGTTATATTTTTAGGTTTTCTCTTCTGGTCAATTTTCTTCTAAATTGTTTGAATTTTTCTGTTATTGAATTGTAGGAGTTCCACATATATTCTGAATACCAATCCCTTGTTTATAAAAACCTAAATCTCTCCCCCTGTCATTTATTTGTTATCTCTTGTTATACCTAAGTTTTCGAATCTGTTCTGATTGTTTTAAATTTCTACTTTTCTTATTTAGGGCCTCAAGATTTTACTTAAGATACGAGGTATATGATACGAGGTATATGATACGAGGTCCTAACTTCATTTCTTTCCACATAAAAACACTGCTATTCCAAATTTATATTCATTCATTTTACACAGAAATGTGTTAGTTACACTCGCTGGGTCGGACAGCGCACCCACCATGCGGGCGCCTCACAATGACGCACCCCATGCCAGGTCCCTGGAGATGCACAGACCTATTTCTGGCCTTTGACTCATTCCAATGCACAGAATAAACTACCTATTCTATATCACATTTTTAAGTTACATTTTATAGCATTTTAACAAATTGTAACTAATAGGGAGAACTATCAATAAGATTTAAAAAGTAAAATTTTTACTGCAATTCTTTCAACCTGCATATGACTATCTTCACGGTAATTTCAAAATTCCTTTGAACTAAGCTTAGTATAACAAGAAAACATGCCTTTGAATGCTTTCTACTTTTGGTATTTCCGTTTCATTTTAGTTCTTTAACTCTGAATTTACCAAGAGGTGACACCAATGGAAGCAGTTCTTCCTTGTGCTTCTTTCTGCCAAATACACTAAAAAGCTGAATCAAAAAACCTTATAGCCAGGACATGCAACTGTCCTGCAACTGTTCACTTAGACTTATGTTACTTTGCTAGTGCTTCCAATGAAGAATTTCACCACATCTTTAAGGATCAAAGAATATGACTTACAGACGCAACTGTAGCCTCCTTCTCCGTGAGCTCCTGCCTGTGTCTGGCCATCATCTCTTTGATCTCTAGCTCTTTCATGATCTTCTCTTTTTCTAAGTCAGAATACTGTTCTTCAGCAATTGAACGAGCCAACTGCTCAGAATCAGCTTTGGTCAAGGTGATCTCCAGCTGGGCAGCCAATGAGTCCCTACATTCAAAAGATATATTATTTTTATGCCTGACTTTTCCTATGAAATTAAAGATTTTGTCTAATTCGCTTCATTCACACGTTTCCTAAAAGCAGGGAGCACAGGCTGTGGCTCAAGGAGATAAAGATCTGGTCCGTACCTTTCATCCTGTAATTCCTGTTTCTTCTGCTGTAATTCTTTACAAAGTTTGGTTTTTTCTTCACATTCTTCCTTAAGTTCCTTAACCTGTGTTTTATACAGAGTCTAAAGAGCAAAATATAGCACAAATATTTATCATCATTGTCATCAGTATCACTAGATTATTTCTCTATCCCAAATCTATCCTGACATAAGTCAAGTTGAATATATAATAATATATTCATAACACTGAGTTACACTGAAGCCCTAAGAAAACAGTGATGAGTTTTTGTGATAATCAACTGAACAACTAGTAACTTACAAGCGTCATTTTCAACTACATATTACAGTGAAATATTTTTACTAAATGACACAGATGAGTAGGATAAATAAAGAGGCAAGGAAAGCATTAATTCAGACAAGAAAATTCTGTTGTACTCAATTAAATAAAACTGAATTTCTGTATCTTACTGATCTCAGAAAAGAACAAATATTGAAACAACAATTTTATTACTTTCATTATAGGAATAGATTCTTCCTCAATAAGCAGTTTTATTTTTTTTAAAGCAATGCTTTTAATCAACTTCAGAAAGGATCTATTATAAGAACCTGTTCTAAAACCAGGAGGTCCTGATTCTGCCGCAAGAATGAAAAAAAATCTGCAGTAACTTTCAACTTAAGGAATCTGGAGCTTACTGAGAAATACTGCTCTGCCTCAAGCTGATCTTGGAGCTCTTTCGTTTGCCCGTCTGCATCTTGACGTTCTCTGTGGGGACAGTGAATCAAAGGTTTTTTAAATAAACCGCACACACTGTAAACCCAGCAACACTTAAAGAACCTTTAATAAGGTTCTGAATACTTTACAATGAGAAGCATTTGAATATTGCTTGATATTTAAAATGTGATCTTTTGACAGACTCAGAACAAATAGTTTCATCATGCTACCCTCAATTTGTCTATCAAGACATTTATGCTCATTCCCAAATAACATAATTTGGCTGCTTTGTTTATTCATTGGCTCTCAAATTCTGGATTAAAAAGGAAGTTATCAATCGAAGCCATTTATCTGTATTACTTTCATATTTTATTATTAAGAAATGATGATTCTGGACCCTCCCTGGTGGTGCCAACAGATTAAAGCGCAGCACTGGGAAGCTGGCGATGGCTGCTTGGTGTGAGTTCGATTCCTGCCCTGGAGGTGACCCACAGGGTGGCAGCAGACTTCTCCTGACCTGCCAGCCACTGCTCCATCAGCAGTGTACTTCATCAATCTGCCTGTTCTGCTCCCCACTATGACTCTAGTGAATCCTTTCACTGCCTCTGTACCTCTGACCTGTTCCCCAGTTCTGTATACATAAATAAATCATTTAGGAAAAAAAAAAGAAATGACGATTGTTATTTCTGAATAACAAAAGGCAAGAAAAGTATCAATAATTTAGACAGGAAACTTGTTGGTTTCAAAGATGCAGAGTTAAATTTTTGTATCTTACTGACCTCAAAAAAGTACAAATGTTGAAATGATAATTTTACTGCATTATGGAAATAAATTCTTCCTCAATAAGCAATCTCTTTTCTTTTTTTAAAGCAATGCTTTAAAAAAAAATTTATTTATGTATGCATACAGAACTGGGGTATAGGCCAGAGGTACAGGGGCAGTAAGAAGGTTCACCAGAGACAGAGTGGGGAGTAGAACAGGGAGATCAATAGAGCACACTGCTGAGGGGAGCAGCGGGCAGGTCAGGAGAGGTCTGCCGCACCCTGTGGGTCACCTCCAGGGCTGGGGATTGAACTCATGCTGAAGTGGCTTTAGCTTCATAGTGCTGTGCTTTAACCCACTGCACCACCAACCACCAGGGAGGGCCTAAAGCACTACTTTTAATCAACTTCAGAGGGGATGGGACATGAACCTAGAATAATTTCTCTAGAAATAATAATGAACTTCTGTTCAAACCATCTACAGTCTCTTGTCCCACTGCTCTTTTTTTTAATGAGTTGAATGGTGCAATACAGCCCATAAAAACACTGTCTGGTGTTTTAAGAATCTATTATGACTGATCGCATAGGAAAGGTCAAGTTCTCAACTATCAGCAGATAAGTTTACTTTCAGCAAAGCCCTTGTTTAATAGCTTGTAAAAGCGATGTGACTTTAAAAAGCTGATATTTGAGGTATTTAAGAAAAGTTATTTTTAGCCTTGTTTAATGGAAGTATCTCTAAAATCAATACTAATTGCCACAGTACTTTTCCATCTAATGTCGCATAGCCTTCTTCCATGTGCCTACTGATACTTGTTCATTATAAATGAGGGGACATGATTCTTAAATTTCTCTATGTAGACGGAAAGACCCTTCTAACTAGCAAATTTCTGTTTAACATGAGAGACTAAAAAAATAAGTCTAAAAAGCCAGTGTAAGGAGCCTTAAAATATGAAGTAAAATTCCATTTCCTTCTGCTCCAATACAACACTCCATCACTGTGCGACAATACAGGGACAGCAGCAGGAAACCTGGGGGAGTAAATAGGACCCTCCCGGAGAGCAGGAGGAATACTTAACATATCAGTGGTGCAGAGAGAGAAAAATGACCAAGAAAATAAAAAGGCCAAAAGAAAATTCCCAGATAAGCCAAAATTAAGATGGTGTGTCAATGAACTTACTTTCGAAGTTCAGCATTCTGTTTTTCCAAGCTCAATTTCATTTCCATGAGATGATTATTCTCTTGTTTCAACTGTTTTTCAGACACTTTTAGTGTGTTAACTTGCTGAGTTTGCATCTTCAAGTCATTTTGAGTGAGGCAGCGCTTCTGAGTTTCCTGTTCTATCTTCAAAGTCAAGTTTCTAACCTAAAAGAAATTGTATACTTGGTATCAGTAAATTACTTTGAGTTTTCTTATCCATGAAGCAAATGTGATGATGTAAACAGACATGGTTAATTCATGTCACAGTAAAATACTTCTTAAATTTTTCATGTTGTATTTTCAAAATAAAATGTGATCTTTCAGAGAAAAATAACTTTTAAAACTTCTAAGATTATGATCACTTAGTATGTCATCCACATTCAGTAAAGTCAACAGGCTGCAGATTTTATTTCATGAAGAAGTTCTAATTATGAAACATTAACTGAACCTTCACAAACAAACCTAACAGGTGACTCATGACTAGTTTGTCATTACTTGGCAGTAATCTGCTGCTTACATCCTCGTTTAGCGCGTCCTTCTGTTTAAGGAGCTCGTCCACTTTCTGCTGCGACTGTTTGAGGTCGCAGTCTAATATAGAGCATCTTTTCTCAGCTTCCAGCAGCAGGTTCTCCACTTTTTGTTTTAAAGTTCTTTCCTCCAAGAGTTTTTTCTCCATTTCTATAGTCACAAAATGGAAAAATCATGAAATAAAAAACATATCAAACATATGACATAGTGATAATAAGAAGTACAGTAAATAATGCTGCCTTAAATATACTTTTCCCAATTCCCAATACAGTATTTTTCACCTATGCTCTTAATGTACTTGAAATGTCAGCTACTCCTCAAAACTTAGGAATTTCATTTGCAGGGCATGAAAATCTACCACACCCTGTCACATCACATCCATTCCCACAGAAGTAAAATAATTCTCCCTTTGCTTATGGTTTTATTAAGACATATCTTTAAATAAAAATTTCTTTTGGCCCTCCCTGGTGGCGCAGCGGGCTAAAGCACTGCACTAAGAAGCTTAAGCCACTTCTGCATGAGTTCGATCCCCGCCTGCCCCGGAGGTGACCACATGGCGCGGCAGACCTCTCCTGACCCGCCCGCTGCTCCCCTCAGCAGTGTACTTCGACCATCTGCCTGTTCTGCTCCCCACTCTGTCTCTGGTGAAGCCTCTCACCGCCCCTGAGTCTCTGGCCTGTACCCCAGTTCTGTATGAATAAATAAATAAATCTTAAAAAAAAAAAAAATTCCAGATAGCTAATACAATCTCAGTGGCTCTTTCCATATTAACCTATCACTGTGAAGAGGATTAGAATTATGCTTCAGGGAGGTGACAAAGGACAAGACCCTGGAGCCAAGCTCCCTGATTTAAACCCTGGCTCTCACAATCACTGGACCTCTATCTGATGGACCTATTATCAGCCTCTCTGGAGCTCAGTTCCTTATCTCTAGAACACAATAACAACACTTACCTGTACAGTGATGTTTAGAAGATTTTGTGTTAATATATGTGCATTATTTAAATGTTGCCTAGTGTATGGCAAGTATTTGGTATGTGCTCATATTTATTAACAAACTAAGACAATGTTCACAATATTTTTTAAAAGTTTAAAAAATGGGCAAAAAACACTGAAAACTATGCAAAACATATCCTCATTAGGATTGTGGTTCATTTTTACTTTTTAGCTTATAGTCTATTTTATAAATGATTTACAATAATTTGTCTCATTAATTAAAAAAGACTTCCAAAGCCTTTTTTTTTTTAATTTCAAAATAAAGAGCAGGCAAAAGTTCATGTCTAATCAAGAGCTTTCATATTAAATAAGTTATTACTGTTAAAGGATTACTTTTTGATATCCTGATTAGAAAAGCTATTCAAATCTGACTAGGTTCCTCTACTACTTCATACTTAATGTTCAACATCTGTCATTTATTACAACATTGTATTAGAAAAAACTTACCTGTGTATTTTCAGACTTTAAGGAATTACCTTCGTAAGTGTTGGGAAAGGAAACTACTCTTCACATACTACAAGCAACAGCCAGCATCTGTAAGCACTTTTGATCAATCACCACACAAGTAGCTTTCACTAGCACCCAGTAATTGTTCCTTTACAGGGACCAAGGCACAGAAAGGCTAAGGAACTAGACAGGCTCGACCAACCAAGGACTCACTGGCAGCCCAAACTGCAGTCAAAGACTGTGTGACGTGACACACAGTGGGACAACCAAAGCCTACAGGTTCAGTGTTGAGTCCCAATATCATACTTATTTTTTTTTTGTAATTTGTGCAAAAATATGAGTCATCAAACACTATACTGTTACAAAAACTAGTTTGAAAAAAATGACAGTTATTATACTGAGTTGGTTCACCTTCATCAGTTTAGAGAAAAACCTATCTACTCATTTTAAATATCAAGTCACCCGAACATGGGTACAGAGAATAATAGACATGAGGGGGATGAAAATATTTTATATGTTGTTTTGGGTGGTAGTCAGACTTGCATATTACAAATACGAAAAATATTTGCATGTTACTGCACCTCAGTTTTACTTTATAAAGAAATTAAATTTTATCTTCTGGGCCATGAAAAGAAAAACATGGCCCACTAACATCCTCTCTTCTCTTCTACTAAGATTTTTCAGATAAAGCACTCATTCATCCTCTATTAGTACATTACACTCATCTTAACACCCTCCAATTTTAATCACATTCAATAATTAAAAGGTTAGTCTTTTGTTAAGTTATTCATAAACATTAAACCTTGCTGTAAAATGTAATTCCTGTTTAAAAGCTGTTTGAGTGCAAGACCAAGTTAGTGGATCAGAAGGGAGGAATAGGGGAAAGTGCAAGCCTGGGAAAAGGGGTCAACTCTTCAGTGAAGGGTGGAACTGAATTTCTGGAGGTCAGCATACACGGAGGTTGGTTTAAAATGACAAACACATGAAACCTATAATGGTATAAACCAATGTTTTCAGTTAAAAAGAAGGTTGGCTGCATCTTTTACAAGGATACTTTCTTAAACGATTTATTTTTATCTATGCATAAATAACTGGGGTGTAGGTCAGAGGTACAGGGGGTGAGAGATTCACCAGAGACAGAGTGGGGAGCAGAACAGGCAGAACTACTGAAATCCAATGGTGAAGGGAAGCAGCGGGGAGACAGGAGAGGTCTGCTGTGCCCTGTGGGTTACTCCCCAGCCAGGGACCAAACTTCATGCTGCAGTGATTGGCCATAGCTCAGCAGTGCTAAGTCTTAACCCCTGCACAAGGAAGGTCCAAGAATACTTTGATTTCTTTTGGAATTTCAAATCCATTATCATTTAAGTAGTCAGTTTGGAAAGTAAAAACCTCTCTGAAGACAATCCCAAAGTACTGGCTGGTATGTGGAAAAGTTAACTTGGTCCCTTACCCAACATTCATTAGTGTTATACAGCTTTGACCAATTGAACTGGAATCTTCATGCCAGAGGCCAAAATAGTCAGTGAACTTGCATCCTAGTTATGTCAACTATTTTTAAATCTTTATTTTGCGGGCCTTCCCTGGTAGCACAACAGGTTATAAAGTGCAGCACCAAGAAGCTAGCCACAACTGCTTCAGCACGTGTTTGATCTCCCAGCCAGGGAGCTGACCTACATGGCGCAGCAGACCTCTCCTGCCTCGTCCACTGCTCCCCTCAGCAGTGTATTTCAGTAGATCTGCCTGTTCTGCTCCCCACTCTGCCTCTGGTGAATCTTCTCACTGCCCCTGCACCTATGGCCTGTACCGCAGTTCTGTATGCATACATAAATATTAAAAATAAATAAATCTTTATTTTGCATAAATTGGCAAAAATTTTCTGACATAAATTGGTGGTCAAACTAAATGTAACAAAGAAAGCACATTCCCTAAATTTGACTAGATCCATGTATAACTATATACTCAATGCCTGTCACTACTGATACCCTGAAATATAATTTTTTCTTTGATCTAAAACTTTGAATATTTTGTGTTTAGTCTTACCATCGGAAATGACTGACACCACAAGGCAAAGAAAAATACATGTTATACTTCCATGTATCTTTTTTCCTACAGTTCCTAATTTTTGACAATAAAATACAAAGATTTTTTAAATCAAGGAGTAAATAAGTACAGAATCAATTCTCTGCAAAATGCTGCTTACCCTTCATGGCTTCTGATTTAGCTTCTTCAATAGACTCGTAAATCTTGTTCTTATCCGCCAACCGTGCTTTTGTAGTCTTATGCTCGGCTGCTTCCTGTTCTAAGCTTTGCTGTGTAACTTTCAGTTGGTATGTCATGTCTATCTCCATATTGTTCTTTTCCTATTAAAGATTACAAATGGCAGATTAAAAAAAAAAAAAAAGACTGGCTCACATTTCAAAAACTTACAAAGTTGTTCACACAAGCTCAGGATACCTTCCCTCTGTTCTGCACTCAAACTTCTTGTAAAAGTGATGTCTCTCTCTCTCTCTCTCGCTCTCTCTCTCTCCTGCTCCTACTGTACCCATCTCCCACTGCACCACTCTACGATTCTGAGGTCTGCATTAAAATGATTTTGATTTCATTAAAATGGTAAATGGTATTCTCAGTATCTAATTCAACATTTTTGATCTTTATCTCATTTATATTTACTATTGCCCCTACAACTATTTTCTTAACGCACCTGACAGAGCTCTCACTTAGCTGGTTCTCCACACCCTGCTCTCAACTTTACTGCCACTTGTGGAGTTCCCCCAGCTGCCCTTGATGCAGGCCTTTTCCGGCATTGTAACAACTCTCCTCTTCCTATGTCTTAATTTTGCAAACTTTTAAAACATACCTAGTATTTCCCTTTGCTGTATCTTAAAAAGAAAACAAACTCATCCTCTATCATTCATTCTTATTTCCCATCCAGAAGACAAAATACACTCAGAACATGTACGAAAGAAGTCAAGTCTATGTTCTGTATGTCCTCAAGATATTTTCTAATTTTTGTTTTCTATAGCTTGTGCCAAATACAAAGGCTTGGCTTTTTCTTCCCCCCAAAATAAGCCCTTTAGTGATGAAAATTAATTTTTTCAGATGCTACAACGCATGTAGCGGGTGCTCTGCTCTGCCCACTCCTCCCAGGTGGGCTTGTCTACTCACACGGCCTCAACTGGTGCCAATGACTCTCCAATTATTCTAGTTTTTACTACTACAGCTTATTGCTTACTTGGCTGTCCTGTAAGCACCTCTAACTTAAGAAGACTAAAATTAATTTAGCATCGGTGCCTCTCAAAGAGCTGTTTTTCCTTTATTCTTTATTAGTAAATGGCAGCACTCTATCTATCTCTTGTCACAAACTAGCAACCTGGAACTCATTCTTGATGAGCTTAAGCCACATATCACCAGCTAGTGCTGCCAGACAGAACTCCTTCAACTATTCTCAGATTCACCTTTCTTCTCCATCCTTACAACCACTTTATTAGACTTCACTATCTAAACTGTGAAAGTCTCTTAACTAGCCACCCTGCCTCTTGTCTGCTTCAAATCTATCCTCCACATGTGCATGCACTTCTAAAGAACAGCACTCAATTTAAAGACATCCAGTAGCTAGTCCATTACTTAGGGAAACTTAAGTTTTTTTTAACAAAGTATTCTAAATCTTTCACTATCTAGTTCATGTCTAGCACTGGAGCCTCCCTCTGGCCACTGAATTTCTCACAGTGACCTAAGGACCATACTGTTGTGAACATGCACGGAACACAGTCACATCCATTCCTTCCTGGATTACAGCAGAGCTGAGTGCGTAACACAGACCGTATAGCCTGTCTGGCCTGGAGCCACTGTAGAGCCTGAACTATTTGCTATCTTTCTCTTTAGAGAATAAAATCTGTAGACTCCCAACTCCAGAAACACTGGACAATTTATGCTTAAATAAACTCTCTACATCTTTTAAATTTTCCATCCTGAGCCTTTGCTCATACTGTGCTCCTCCACTCAGAATGTGCCTTTACACCACATCCACCAGTCACGGTCTGTCAAAATAGGCATTTGTTGATCGCACACCTCTGCGTTCACACCTCTTGTCATTCTATTCACCATACTGCATGAATACATTATGCTGGTGTGCGTTATTATGGCTTGCGTCTCTATGGTCGTTAAAGGCAAGGACTGCATCCTTCATACTGCTAACACAGATTATGTACTAAATGCTTCAACAAATAACCAAGTTAATGAAAATAAAACATTAACTGTATAGACTAGAAATTATCTCTGCCTCGTGGCATTTTTTAAAGAAAAACTTCCCAATGCTAAAAGTCATGATCACAGTACATTGTTAAGACAGGCAAAAGTCAAATTTGAGTCTTCCTGGGAACCCAGAGAGATGCATCCTCCTATACACTTTAGTAAGTCCCTTCGTATAATCATTTTACAAACTAAGGGCTGCTGTGTATGGTCACAATTAGGCTTCAAATATAAATCCCTGGGAGTTTATGCAACTAAATCTACATATACAGGCGTCCATACAAAAATACTTCAACATGGATTTCCCTATCTTGGCATAAGTTTCCAATGTAAAACTCTAGGTTTTCTTACATAAACATAGTTTAACATATCTTACCTTTTCCAAGTCAGTCAATCTCTCCTGTAGTTGCCTCTTCTCCACTTCTACTTTTGCTAGTAAGAATTTGCCATTCTTTAAATCTTCTTCCAGGCCAGAAAGTCTACCTAAAATTGTGACATTTTAAAAAATAGTAAGCCTTAAAATATAGATATTAGCTTAGGAGCTAAAAAATTTTAAAGTTACCTCAGACTTTGGAGGTATTATTTATAAGCAAGAGTTTTAAAATTGCTGGTATAGAGCTATACAGTTAACTCAACTGGAAATCAATCTACATGGGAGGTAGGCTGATGCTTAAAATATTTCACTCCATTTGAAAGTAAATCTTTCGTTCCTTAAAGTTTATGTCAACATATTGCTAATATGCTAACTTTACATAACAGAGTGACACATTCATAAACGTGCTTCTCCAGTACTGATCTACAACTTAGAGTTACTTACAAATTATTCATCATCAAGATGAATTCAAGTTTATAACCTCTAATACCTTGTAAATCATTAATTATCTCGGATCCATGGGTTCGGTCCCTCCTTTCAGACTCTAGAACTGACTGAAGATTGATAAATTCCTTTTCAAGTTTTAACTTGGCAGTCTCCAGGAGGCAATTTTTATCTTGTAAGTCTCTATTGTTGGATTCCAGCTGCTGAATCTGTTTTGAACTTTCTGCCTGGGTTTTTCGTAACCGGGCTGCGGTATCAGATTCTGTCCTCAGCAAAGCATTGGTTTCATCCAGCTGTTATTCCAGTCAAAAATCAAACAAACAACAAGCAGATGTCCATAAAGAAAATACTTTGACTTATAAACCCATTTCTAATTAACATAAAATATTTTCCTAAGGATTTCCCTCTAAAATGAGAGGCAAAGTCTTTTCTACCATTGCCAATTAACACTAATCTTAGCAAGGAATCATAAATTAAGTTCAACACCCTTACTACAAATTGAGGTCAACCTACTTGTCTCTGGAGTTCATTCACTTTCTCAGTGGATATTTGAGAGCTCTGGTTTCTTTTTTTCAAATCTTCAAGTTGATCTTTTAAACTGTTAACTATGATAAAAAATGTGTCAGTGGCAAGCTTCAACATCACACACACACAATTGAATTTTTTTCTTGGTATTTAACATTCTACACTACAAACCATCATTTTCCAAATTTCGTTTCCTGTCTGCGTCATGATCAGCTTTCCGCTGATATTCTGCATTTTTGTGCTGAAGAAGTGCCTTTTCTCTTTCTAATTGTCTCAATGCTGATTCCACATTTTTCCTTAAGGTAATCTGAAAAGATGTTTAAAGTTAATGTCAAAGGTAAATATATAGAAAAATCAAATAAAAATATCTGATTTATTTTAAGCAGATAAAAAAGAGCTAAAAATGTTTTCCATATTTTAACATTAGCACATATTGTTAAATAATCAAAACTGTATTTGTTAACTACTGAAAGTCAAACTTTCTATACCACTGAACCATCTTTAATACAGACTGTGGACCTAAAATGTATGAACAACTAGAAAGAATACAGAACTACATTGACTATCTTCTATTTTAAAGCTGTATTAGTGAAAATGTAATTTTTTTACTTTAAAGAACTACACATAATAAGTTAACACATTTGCAAAAACGTAACAAAATGAAGTCTATTAACCTGTTTATAATGTTAATCCTGTCAATCAATGCTACAAGGTAGCAGGTTTAACCATATGTCAAGACATGCAACAATATGGTATTTAGAAGACTCTAAAGATAAGTCAGGCATCAAAGCTTTTTATGAACAAAGATGCTAATAAAAGCAAGGACAACTTTACCTCTTCTTCTAGTTCCTTTGTTACTTTCTCTAGACGCGTATTAACAGATCTAAAGAATTTCAAAAGAAATAATAGATAAGATAGCTCACTCCTAATTTCTAATAAAAACATCATCAATTTTAAAAAAAAAAATCACCTACTTTGCAGTTATCCTTTGTGTAAAGTGCTATCAGACATTTTAAAGTACGATGTTTAATTACCTATGATACCTACTTGCACTTCTGCTCTAGTTCCTCTTTGGCTTGTATCTCAGTGCTAAGATGTTCTTCTAATGTGTACAATTTTTTCTGAATCTGTCAAAAGCAAAAGTCTATTATTGTAACATTTGGAGACTTAAATGAAAACAAGTATTATCTTCTTTTTCTTACAACTTAAAATGATCTCTATAATAGAACAATGCTTGTAGTAGCATCTTAATGAGACTTCACTGACAAAGAAAAAACCCTCCATCTCTTGCATTTTCTCTACCACAGAAATAGACAAATCTGTGGAGTAAGTAAACACTTGAATGAGAAACTCGCTTTGGCAGAATTCTTCTATGACAATTTCACATCCATTATGTTAATAAGTGATATCCTCAACTACTCTGTTAACAATATATTTATGAAGTTTATTTGAAAATACTGTCTCCATTATGCTTATAAAACAAAAAAAAATCTGAAATATTCAAAATATTTGACTGAACAGGCTACAAAATATATTATTATTCTTTTTTTATTTTTAAAGATTTATTTATTTATGCATACAGAGCTGGGGTGCAGACCAGAAGTGCAGGAGCATTGAGAGGATTCTCCAGAGACAGAGTGGGGAGCAGAACATAAGCTCTTCTATACATTTTTCTATACAATGTTGGCACAGTACTAGTAGAGTTGCAAATCAATAATTGTGTTGGATAAATGATTGCTAACTAATTACAAGTCAGCTCCCTGATAACTTTCCCTAGTTATATCAGTCTCTAAACAAACTAAAATTACAGAAGTTACTAAATAACACTTTCTCAGACCATTATCATCTTTATAAAGGACTTAACTTTGGAGTCCCTTCCCTGTGCTAGCTACAGCGGCAGGTACTTCCTGTGTCACAAGCCTAACAAGATCCAGAGAGCCTGGTGGGTCTGCATCGACTCAATAATGAAGCTGAAGTCCAATCAAGGCGAGTAACTGGCCCCAAGACAGCACAGTTAATAAGTGATAGTGCCTAACATCAACCCAAGTACATTAGAGTCCAAGGAGCATGTTCATCACACTTTACTCTCTAGGACTAGACCTTATATTTGTCACACATCTATAGCAAAATATTGTTTCCCTAATGAAAAAAAAAAAAAAAGACTTTGTGCTGACTAGTCAGTTTTAACTACTTTTGGCTGTATTAGCTTAATTTGATCATATTCATTATCTATTACATAATCAGAAGTTCTTGCTTTCATAATATATCCTTGATAAATTAAAACAAGAAAAATTACATGATACGTATTTTAAGCAACAGATCCAAAGAAGCAATGATAAAAGAGATACTTGATAGAAACAAAAGTTGGTGACTTCTCTCTCCCTTGGTAGATGTAGCTCTCCAAATGCAAGATGGAATATAACTGCATAAGAGCACTGCTAGTGTTGAGTTTTTCAACTTATCTGACAACAAACATACCTCTTGACTTTCCTATTTAAAACAAAAGAAAAAAACATATTAAAATGCTTGTTATGTTTTAGAAAAGTCCTAAACATAAATTATTCCATCAAAACCAAAATCATTCCATCAACAGCTTTAAGTTTTCAAAGAGATGCTCAGTTCCTCACCGATGCACGCATGTGCCTGCATGCTTTAGCTTTACGCGCAGCTGCAAATTACAGAGCCCAAACACTGTTAACAGTGTTTGGTAAACTTCATTCTTCATACGAACTCATCCTGATTAACTTTAATCTCCCTATTATTTCTGCACTCTTATAGTGCTAAGATTTATAGTACTAAAATTACAAATTTCCTAACTGGTGTTAAAGACATTTATAAACCTATCCTATCACTTTTGCCATTAAAGTCATGAGCAAATCATTTTCCTATTACCCAATGCAACATACACAACGATACTTGGCAAATTTAGTGAGTTATTCCAATGGCATGCTGACCTAGGAATGCTATCTAATGATTCAAACAGTATCATCAAAGCCACTTTTTAAATATATGATTAGTGAAAGTTTATACATGTGACTAAAATACAGTAGTAAAACTTTAAATTTTAAACATACTTCATTTTTCCTCGATTGTATGGTATCATTTTCTCTAGAAGATGGAGAGTCACTTAATAACCTAGAAGAAAAGCAGGAAATAAATTCTCATATATGTTATTTTAATCCATTTGCTAATATCATGTTATTCACAGAATTAAGTTCAACCACAAAGACTTCTTTCTTTTCTTTTCAATGTATTTTAAATGAAGCAGTATTTTCCCCTCTAAACATTTATACCATTTTCAATCATTTAAAAATCTAAACTGTTCCTTTCACTCTTAGTAGATGTTCTAGTCTTCAACACTGTTGAGACCAGTGACTAAACAAAACTCTATTCCCTCCCCTCCTCATCTCATTTTGAGTTCTTGTAACTATTTTATTCTTTATAGAAATCTTTTAGAGACATACTACCTCTTTCTAAAAGGTAACATCTCTTGAACTTCATAATAATATGTAAATCATCAGATGTATGTCACTGTCAATCTCTCTCTTAGGTGGGCTCTTCCTCAACCCCTAGAAGCTCGCTTGGGCTTCTCCTGGCACTGATAGTCTCATTTTTGTTAACATTAGAATAGTTTTTAGAATATTACACTTGCAGAATGCCAACTCAACTGCACTTGCCTGGGACTTTCCTGGTTTTAGGATGAAAGTCCCATGCCATATTCTAGGAAACTATTAATCCTGAGAAAACTGTAAAAATTAGTCACTCTGGTCATTACATTTATGGGTATAACAAAAGTTTCTCAACATCTTTAATACTTCACTCAACTATTTAAGTCTTCAGTGGCTCCTCACTGCCTGTCAAAGTCCAGTCACTTAGCACGGCACAAAAATGACCTATAGCATGGTCATTCCCCTAAACTCCAGCACCAATCTACTTTCCAATCTTCACATCAGTGAGCCAGCACTAACTGAATGACCGATAGCTAGATCTGTACTAGATGGAGGGTTTACAGGCAAGCAAATCAGTTTGAAGTGCTCCAAGTGGTCAAATCACAGTAAAATATACACTACCTTTGAACCTGACCCTACACTGCTCTCTTCCTAATATGTTTACATTTCAGACTTCTACCACTCATCTCTCTACCACTCACCTACTTCCCCACACCTTTGCTACTCAAAGCCTTTTCCTATTTTTAAACTCAGGTAAAATCCACCTCTTCATCCCTGAGGTCCTCCTGACTTCCCCCTCCTCTTCCCCCAAAGAGATGTGCCTTTTATTTTTCTTCTGATACATCTCAGATTTTTTTTGATGCATTTCTTAAGGCAATTATCATATTCTATCCTTTAATACAACTATATAATTCTCTCAGACCCCTCGTAATGGTCAAGCTCCTTCAACAGCAGTCACCTGGTCTTACTTTATATCCCCACAAGAACCAGAACACTGCCTTGCATTTATTTGTAAATGATTATCATATACCACTCAAAAATGAAATTAAATAAAAAGTAACTCTAGGAGTTTTTTTTTGGGGGGAGGAATTAAAAGTTAACAAATTAATATGCATTCTATCATTATTCACAATCATGAAGTCACATCATTATAGCTAAGCTAAAAACAAATCACATACAAATTTTCTCTATAGTAGGTAAATCCTATAAATGGCAGCTGATTTCCCACAAAAGCCTTAGGAATTGGGAAGGTTTCTACATCTCCTTTATCATCTTCAATGTCATCGAAATTGCTGCTGTCTATGTCACTGCTGAGCTCAGGTACCACAGGTGCTGCCGCTATTAAAAGAAAATAAATTATTTCAAATTATTTCATTCAAAATAAAAACATGTTTTGTGATATATTATTCATTATTACAATAGGCCACCTTTACATTTAACGCTATATATTAATAATTAATATGACTGACTATACAAAGTTTTAGCCAACACAATTTCCACTTTATCATTTCAAAGAATTCAACTTTATAAATATTTCTTGCTAGACTAGATATGAATAATTAAGCAAGAAAAAGGATATGATATTATTATGGGTATTATAATCACAATAACTTGCAGGTACATTCTCTGGGCTTCCATTTTCTATACTCTTTAAATAGACATATCTCTTAATCTTAAAATGAAATAATGTCAAATATACATAAAGTAAATACAATTTACTATGTTCACCCTTGTTTCATCAGGGAAGTTTCTATAAATTATTAAAATTAAGATTGTATTTCCACCATTCTGAAAATCACTGACAACTATAAAACTGAACTTCACAAATTAATGTGTAACATTATAAAAAAGTACTATGAAATACTGTTAATAAATACTTAATAGTTTGCTAAGATATTGAGGTAATATTTAGTTATAAACATGGAACAAATTTAAAATGAAACCTCTCAATTTTAAAAATCAGCATTAATAGTTATCAAACATGCATGTTAATTCATGAGAAATCAATTTATGTGCCGGAATGGAAATATCTTATTGACTTACTCTCTCTTATGTTTTCCCAATTCCACTGATCATTCTTAAAGAAAGGATGTTGTTTGATTTCTTCTACCCCATTTCTCCCAAGTCGTACCTCCCTAAACAACGTAAAGGTTGCATGATAAGAGTATGTAAAATACTGGACTTATTTCAACAGGGATCAAAATAAGGATCACCAATGAGTTTGAGCTATCTCTATTAAAGCTTCAGCTAAACTGTTCTCAATTCCACATATGTGACCCCTCGATGTAAATTAATAAAATTTCAAAATATACAAGACACTATGGAAAATATATTTCTATTGGTAACCTATGTCAACTGAAAATGAACGTGGGACTTTCAAATTCAAAACAATGATCCAGCCAAAACCATGTGACCAACTCCAAGAGGTAAAATGGACAAAGGTCTTAACTTTTGATGCAGAAGTTAAGCAAAACTTCTCTAATCAAACATTTAAAAATCTTTATCCATCTTCAAAATAACTTAATACTATGCATGAATCTATCCATACTTACTCCAATAAACTATCTCTTTGTTGCTAATAAAATTATTCTGTGTACAAGAAATAATACTAATCATTCTGTGATCATCTGATTCTTCAATGGAGACTATATAGAAATAAAAAGTATCTGCTTTCTGTATGTCCTTGGGGGACTCTGCTTACTCTAAAGGAAAATAAATGTACACATTCCAACAGAAACTGCTCCTAGTCACACTGATGGCTTTAAATTACTTTCAAAAATTCTTTTCTCTACCAACAATCATTTCTTAGATGCAAACACCTACCCCAAATAAATTGCTTAGGCTAATCCACCACACCTCAAATAAAGGGTTGATTAGACAAAATTTTCATGAATGGTATTCTTTTTACTAGCACATGCTATATCTCATTTTATGTATTACCATTTAGCACAAATTATGGTGATCTATATCAGCCCCATCCAGCCCTCAAATCAAATATCATACAGGATTTAGCTCACCTGCATACATTGTCTGTTAATCATATGACTAGCAAATCTTTGTTCTAGTAACCGCACTTCACTGTCAATTTACAACATCAATTTTAAAATACGTATCCCAGAACTTTACTTTTAAAGATTTTATACTATAAAAAAAGTATGCAAAGATGAATATAATGACTACAATAGTCTCTGCAGTACTACTTCAAACAGCAATGAGCAAACATTAAGGTGTGCTGAGGAATTACAGCATTATCGAGTTTCAAATGCGCTGAAAGATCTTATACGGACCCATGATTTTTTATGGCCTAGTAAAATTATTCCCAAAAAGTAAAATAATTCCCTTAATACTAAAGGTGTGAGTAAAAAGCAAGCACCCTCCTGGGTGGACCTTTGAGAGGGTGACTCTTAGCACAAAGATTAAAAAGCAAAGGAGAACTGAACAGAATTCAAGCATGAAACTCCAAACAATTTCCTAGTTTTTCTTTTTCAGGTAAGTTTTTACAGGGTTGCGCATCTATTTTGCTTTAAAATATGTCAAATTTCCAGGATAGATTTGCTTATATTCAGATGCAAGTAAGAAAAGGTTGGGAAGGAGGCACTCCCGTATGAAATGCAAACAGTCTGTAAGACTATAACCTGTTGAATATTTAGCTGCACAGAATGCTTTCCTCTCAAGTTATACAACAAGGCCTTGAGAGGTAGTGTAAATAATACCAAAGTTTTATTTCCCTCATATGCATTAATTTTCCAACTTCCGTTTTTTTTCTAAACAGGAGGGTTAAGTGTACAGTTAAGTGACAACTGGCCTGCAGAAGGATAACCCACCACCAGGAAAAGGCTAACCAAGAATTACAGTTGACTTGGACAAAGTGGGAGACTGGTGTCATATATAAGTAAGAGTTAGCTATGCTTTCATTTCTACAAATTTAAAAGTCAGATGACTGTACAAAGAAATTCAATGTATATTACCTATCTGTTAAGAAGGCACAGATGAGGTTCTTTGCTTGTTTAGAAATTTCTGCATCTTCAGGGAAACATAGTGAGTTTTTATGATCCATAATTTTGCTGTATGTGCCCACGAGTGAATCTGCATAAAATGGAGTATCCCCTAAAATTCCAAGAAAGGAGAGAGAAAGAGTAATAGAAAATGCAAACCAAGCACTTTTTGTCTAGTATTAAATGCAGTTAAGTCTATATTTGTCACTTGCATGGAAGAATTAAGTTTATGGGCCAGGAATCTCAGTCAGAACTAACAGACTTGGGGGCCCTCCCTGGCAGTGCAATGAGTTAATGTGCATCACTATGAAGCTGTCGCAGCCACTGCAGCATGAGTTTGATCCCCAACCAGGGAGTGACCCACCTCTCCTGACCGGCCCATTGTTCCCCTCAGCAGTGTATTTCAGCGGATCTGCCTGTTCTGCTCCCCACTCTGGTGAATCCTATCACCACCCCACATACCTCTGGCCTGTACCCCAGTTCTGTATGCATAAATAAATCTTAAAAAAAACTAACAGACCTGGGTCTCCCTGGTGGAGAAAGGGGTTAAATCTCAGCACTGTCAGGCTATCAGCAACCACTTTAGTGCCAGTCTGATCCCCAGCCAGAAAGCTGGCCTACACTGCTCTCTCCTGTCAGCAGGACAGCAGATCTCTCCTGTCTTGGCTTCTGCTCCCTTCAGCAGTATATTTCATTCAATCTGCCTGTTATGCTCCCCATTCTCCCTGGTGGATCCCCTCAAACCCAACACCTCTGGGCTATACCCCTTATATGCAGAAATAAATAGAATAAATCTTAAAAAAATACAGTAGTCTCTCATTAGTCCTTTATGTCTGTTCAAAGCTAAATTAATTAAAATGAAAATTTCTGCTCCTTGGTCACACTAACCACTTTTCAGGTGGTCCCAAGGTCAGTGCTTCCCAGAGCAGAAATAACCCTCTATCATCCTGGCAGACTGGTCACTGCAGCTGTAAAAGTTAGACCTGTTCTATTATTTTACACATGAGGAGGTCAGGCCAGGTAGCTAACAGGTGCAGTGTCTGAGATGACACAGAGAAAAAGGCAGAAATGATGTCCTGGCGCAGAGTTCCTGCTGACTGTGAGCACACCGCAGAGGAACTGAGCAGGCACAAAGAGAGAAAAAGTCGAAGGCACTATTTTGAGCTTCAGGATTACAAGGTTAATTTCTAACAACAGTTAAAGGCTCAGTCAGTATACCTGAATACCAAGTTGTAGTACTTAAAAACTAACTTTCCTGTATCAGTCCACCCTAAACTTCAAACAGGTATTCAAGTAGTTAGTTAGCTTTTGTCTGTTTTCAAAACGGAAAAAGAAAGGAGCTTTGAATTCAAGATTTTTCTAGTGCCATTTTTTTGAGTTCTATATGAAGTCCAGAACCAGCCAACTTGATCAAGCACCAAAACAGGCTGAGAACTGCAGGTGCATGCCATTCAAACTCACTAAATTCAAGGTTGAAAACAGTAGCAGCGCTGGAAATAGTAGCAGGAATTAAAGGACTTTTTCAAATGAACCAGATGACTTATCAAAAGTATGTTTTCTAAATCCTTAAGAGAGTTTAGACAAGGGGCGTCCCTGCTGGTCTAGAGTCTAGACAAGGGGCGTCCCTGCTGGTTAAGTTGCAGCACTATCACCTCTACAGCCTGAGTTCGATCCTTTGCCAGGGAGCTGAGGGACAGCAGGCCTTTCCTGTCTCCCTGCTGCTCACCTCAGCAGTGTATTTCAGTAGCTCTGCCTGTTCTGCTCTATACAAGTGAGAAAACATTCTACCTTCAAAAGATTATAAGATACAACTAATGCATCATCAGATCAGCTAGCTACCTAGGAACACAGAACAAACACAGAGACACCCCCACATGGGTGAATGTCCCAAAGAAGGTCACACTATGACAAGAAACTAAGCACAACAAAACCAAGCATGGTCATTAGCCACAAAAAAGCCCATGGCTAATCATTATTTAAATTTGGGATTTACCAAAATAGATTTTATTTTAAGCAATGACCATATTCAGTACGGATTTTACACATTTTTCCACTACCAACTGTTTTGGGATCATAGTGAAGGAAAAGATTCTCTAATTTCTAAAAAAAACTCGAAAGTCTCATGAGAGTCAGTCTTATCCCACTTGCCTCAGAAAGTAGATTCACTACATCTCCCTCATCCCCAAGCAGGTGTCTCAGTTAGGGCTTCCTCTTAGATGTTTTATGACCTTACTACTTAGGAATGGAAAAATCTTAAGAAAAAAAACAAAACTATAATGTAAAGAAAAGGTTTGAAATATCTGAGCTTTTCAAGTTTTGCCTTTTTTCTTAATTTTTAAAAAAGTTTGCTTTAACTGAGGTAATAGTGTATAGCACAGTGTGGTTTGAAGATAGCTGCACTCCTCTTAAGTGTCTACACTACAACCATAGTACCACAGTCCTCCCACAGTCCAGAGCACCCTCTCTACCCTGCCCTGCACCTCCAGCCCTTCCCCTCGGGTAGCCTCAATTCTACAGACTTCTAGGGTTTTGTTATTGGTGTAAGTCTGCCTCCCTGAAGGCATAGGAGTGAAGTCTCAATGCTATCACCACTCAGCCTGTGTTTGACTTCAGTTTGATATCAGGCCAGAGAGGTAACCACACATGGCACAGTAGAGCCCTCCTGTCTCCCCGCTGTTTCCCTCAACAGTGTACTTCAGTGGATCTGCCTGTTCTTCCCCATTGTGTCTCTGGTGAATTTTCTCACCCCTGCACTTTTGGCCTGCTTCCCATTTCTTCTATGCATAAAAAACAAAGAAATATTTACAATAAATACTACTGGTCAAGAACATCTTAGAATGGAGACCCACTGGGGTGTAAACCTGCCTCTTCTAATATTTTCCTTACACAAAAACAATGGCAGAATATTGCCAAACCATCTATGCTAATCCCTTTCATGGTCCACTTAACCCCTGTGCCAGTGTGTATGGTGGTGGTACCTGATGGGAAGGATCCTAATGTTTCCTCAATTAAATGAATAAAGTACAAACATAATAATAATAGTAACAATTTTCTGATTAATAGTCTCACTGCTAATTCAAAACTTCCAGAAGTTACATTTTCCCCTATGACACAGGTAATTAATTTCTTTATACTCTCAAATTCCTGACTTAGAACTCAGGCATTATGAAATGTTGGTTTTTTTAGCAAAGTTAAAGTATTTACTTACCCACCAGCATCTCAAAAAGGAAAACACCTACAGACCACCAATCACATTCTCGCCCATAGTAACCATCGCCCCCTTGTGATTTCAGAACCTCAGGTGATATATAGTCAGGTGTTCCAACTGCTGTGTCACAATGCACCATGCCTGTCTGGGTAAATTAGCAAAGATAAAGAAAAGCGGCTGTGTGTTAGTGTGTTTTAAAAGACATCCACAAATGTAACTGATTATTTTTTATTACCTATGTATTAATTACAAACTGCAATCAACAGAACTTCATTGTTGATGTGGCTTTGGAAGGATGGGGCATAAATGCCTTATGAAATGTACATTAGGATGCCTGGATTATGAGAGAGCAGAAATAAACTTCCAACTTTCAAATATAGGAGGCTTCCTCAGTTAAAAGAAGGAAAAGGTGGCAAACTCCATGGAAATTCCATATAAATCAACATCTTTTACATATTTTTCTTACACTATAAACTGGTTAAAAGAGAAGTACAAGTGGTTGTTAACATACTTGACCACCTGACTGGGGAGAAGAAAAGACTCACTGGAGCAAGGAAGTTTTAATATTTGCAAAAGAAACTGCAGCAATTAAGGCTATAAAAGACCCAGTTTGGGTTTTTATTATACTAAGAAAACATGAGGAAAATAGATCAAATGTTTACATTGAAATATACTTTCCAAAATACAAACAGTAATGTGAACCTACATTACCTCAGTTTAAAAAAAATTTTTTTTAATTTTTTAAATAGCTGGAAAGCTAATTTCCATGCTGCATATTTAGAACTTGTGAAATTAAGATTATTGGCACAAAAAAAATCCTTATCTCTTTTTACTTTTGGTGAGTAAAAAAGATAAATCCTACTAGATAGCTTTTTTGACAAGAAAAAGGATAACTATAGATCTACATCTGTGTAGCAAGTGCATAGCTTATTTCTGCATATTGTAAATCTGTATATGCTGTAAAACTAAATCATTATCATAGTACAGTGCGAAATATTTGATCAGTTTTAATGGTGTCCAAATTTGCAAAGATTTCAGACTAAGTTAAATACCCTGTCATTATTGCCTTTACCTTTACACCAATTTCCTTGTAAGAAAGCAATACAAACTACCAAACTATCTAGTATTTCCACTTGGAAAAAGGAAGTTCAGTGTATTTCATGATTTATGTAATTTATCATGTAAATTTATGTGAATTTTTACTTAAATGACAGGAAATATGCTAAATATATTAATTTTTAAAAATAGTGTATTCCTCAAGTTAGCAAAAATAAACTCAATTTTTCCAAGTACACAGCAATCATAGAAGACATTTTAGTTTGAATATAAAATAATTATTTTTCCAAGTATACAGCAAACATAGAAGACATTTTAGTTTGAATATAAAATAATTATTTTTTAAATGACAGAGAAAACTGAGGATAATACTTTATGTAGATGACTTAGGACAAAAGCTGAAGAAGATAGTTTCTGACTTCAAAAGGTAGGGCACATATTTTTATCATGGACTACATTATACTTTAAACTTCTTCTGAAATGAAACTAACAAAGACTTAGTAGGATAAAGAAAATCTCTTCAATTTTTACACACCCATAGAAATTAGGCCTTAAAACATAAGTCTTGTAAGGACTGAAAAGTAATGAAAACTTGCTGGATACTCACACAAAACCAAGAAAGTACAGCTACAAGAAAAATTTAATATTTAAAGATTCAGAAAAAGGAGAGGAAAAGAAACAAACAAGCAAACAAAAACCTAGCATAAAGTTAGGCTACAAAGGATAGCTTTAAAGGAGAAAGGGAGGTGGCTGCTTAGCTCAGTTGTTTAGAGCGTGGTGCTAATAAAGGAGAAAGGGTATTAAGGTAGCTAAGAATGAAAATAAAGGAACAAAGAACCATGTAAAGCATGTTCAACATATGCAGTGAGGTCCCTGTCAGCTAAATGGAGATCAACTTGAACAACCCACTCAAGAACACACACTTGGGTAAGACTAAAGAACTTTCAGTAAGTAAATGATGAAACTAGTATTTTGCTTTTGGAAAATCAACTTTCTAACTACAAATTTTGGCCTACATACACCATGGGATTTTTTTTTTTTTTTTTTAGCAAGCTTTTAAAAATCCTCTTTTAGGCTCTCCATGGTGATACAACAGGTTAGGACGAAGCACTGCAAGTCAGCGCAGCGGCTTCACCAGGAGTTCAAACCCCACCCCAGAGGTGACCCACATGGCACAGCAGACCTCTCCTCTCCTGACCTGCCAGCTGCTCCCTTCAGCAGTGCATTTTGTCAGTTGGCCTGCTCTGCTCCCCACTCTGAAATAAATAAATAAATCTTTTAAAAATAAATAAATAATAGCATATTTTAAAATTGTCCCATGGGGGCCCTCCCTGGTGGCACAGCGGGTTAAAGCACAGCACTAAGAAGCTTAAGCCACTTCCGCATGAGTTCGATCCCCGCCTGCCCTGGAAATGACCACATGGCGCAGCAGACCTCTCCTGACGCGCCCACTGCTCCCCTCAGCAGTGGACTTCGTCGATCTGCCTGTCCTGCTCCCCACTCTGTCTCTGGTGAAGCCTCTCACCCTCCGCATCTCTGGCCTGTACCCCAGTTCTGTATGAATAAAAATAAATAAATCTTTAAAAAAAATTTGTCCCATGGGAAAACTGTTATATCATATAAACATGGAATCTACATTTACCACAACTCTGATCTTATTTAAAAGAAATGTAGGAAGGATAAATCACAAACTAAAAAGATTGGTCTATCTACAGAGGGTGGGTGGGGGAGGTGAAAAGAAAGGAATCCAGGAATGGGGGTTAGGGATAAAAAGGAGTAACTAACTCTGACTCCTAAAACCAAAGGAATGTTTCATATATAAAAAACATAAAAGCAACTGAAATCAATCTGGATGTAGGAGTAGCTCTAAATACAATACAATAGCAAGAAATGAACTTGTTTTATAGATTAATACTACTACAATGAAGGAGGTATGGAAGAAATGACCAAAGTAACTTTGGGAAACAGAATTTTAAATGACTCCTATAAGGCTAAATGCCTAAAGAACTGCACAAAGACCAGGCATTCTAGATAGAAAATGATACATTACAGATAATGAAGGCCTGGTTTCTATGTCCAAAATGGAAATCACAGAATACAAGGGAAGATGACTGCAACGAATCCTGTGGTAGAAGACCGGATCAGAAGTACCCACATGAACTCATAACTTTGTAACTACAGATCAACAAGCAGGTAAAACAGGCTTGAACACAGGTATGTGTTCATGCGGGCTAACGCACATACTGTATACAGCACGTGCGAGCCCACTGACAGGGCCTAGACCCAGAGAGGCTCCCGAAGGACTGACCTGTCTGCTGCCCGAATACGCATTTCTAAATACCATTACTGCATCTGTCTTTCTCCTCACTTATTTCGCTTAGCATTAATTCCCCCAGCTGTATCAGGTTGCCACAAATAACAAGAATTTGTCTTCTCTAATAACTGAATACTATTCCATCGTGTTTACATACCATATCTTAATGTGCTCATCTGTTTTTGAGCATTTAGGCTGTTTCCAAATCTTGGCTACTGTAATGAACCTGGGAGCACAACTTCCCCTCAACATTGTTTCTGTAATGTCTCTGATAGGGATTCCTGGGTTTTATGGCAGAGCTGTCAATAGCCTTGAGTAGCCCCCAGTTCCCTAGCTGGCCAGTCCACCACAGTGCAGGAGGGCGCCTTTTCTTCCTCATCCTCCGGCTCTTATGGTTTCTGGTTTTTTTCTGGTATGGGATGAGTCGGGATCTCACTATGGCTTTGATTTGCATTTCTATGATGACAGATCATAGTGGCCATTTTTTCATATGCCTTTCTGCCATATGTATGTCTTCTTTGGAGAAGTTCATATTTAGCTATTCTGTCCATTTTTTGAGTGGATTGTTTTCTTAAATTGTATAATTTCTTATAGATCTTTAATATCAGCCCTTGTCAGATATATGATATGCAAATATTTTCTTCCGTTCAGTGGGATGTCTTTTTGTTTTAATTACATTTTGGTTTGATGTAGCCTTCAATTAAAACTCTCCTGTTCTTCAACAATTATTCTCATTATTAATACTACTCAAGGAATGGAGGTTTGGGTTAAAATCATTCAACATTTTTAAAGTCCAGTATTATATAAAAATATTTTTCTCTAAGAAGTTAAGGATTTTGTTCAAAGAAACAAATGAGTAGCAAACTGGAAGAAAATACCAAGAATATCTGTGAAGTCACTAACTAGATTATATGCAATATAAGTATCACCTGCACATCAGTAGGAAGCCAATTTTAAAAGGATCAAAAATAGACAACAGCTCATTCACAACAGAGAAGTGGGTGACAATTAAATGAAATGATTTCCACTGTTAGTTAAAATACTTCACACTGGTGACATTGAGAGTGTGAATGTAAGAAGGAGTGAGGACACGGAAGACAGGGTTTCTGCACACTGCCAGCAAAAAGTCATAAAGTCATCCTCCTTCTGAGATCAGCTAAGACTCCAGGTGTCCTCTAGTACAGTAGGCTCATTTCCAGGTGGATGTTTAGAGGAAGCTCTACCAAGGTACACTTGAGACACATATGAAGATGTTCAACATAGCACTACTGGTAAGAGGGTGCTGGATGTGACCAAAGAATCCAACACGCTCACAGAAATTATACTATGGAAAATGCTCGGAAGCGATGAGCTAACTTAACTTAGTTCAGGAATGGCCATTCAGCAAGGCTGAGTGAAGAAAGTGAACAGAATGACACTGTGCCATCATGCTACTGTATGTATGAGCACTATGCTGACAGTCTGCAAGAGCTTACAGCCAACACATTTACAGGGGCTGGCTGGCTTCACAGAAAGAAAGAACAAGAAACTAAAAGGAGGCAAATACAACAAATGGGGCTTTGGTACTCGTGACAACAGGCTGTGAATCAAGGAGTACAACTAACCACATGTACTTGAGTTAAAAAATAATGAAAATTATAAAGTTATGTAAGAGACATTTTATTTTCCTTATAAGAGATTTGAATACTGAATTTAGGATTCCATTACATGCTTGTAAAAGTATTTTTAGATACCATATTCTGTTCCTTATATTATCACAATCTGTGCTGTTCTTT